CGTGGTGATTGACCAAGGCGAATGGCAGGAACGTGTAGGAGAGGCAGAGGATAGTCCCTCAGCATGACTCGAGCTTCACCCATGGTGACCTTCAAGCTCATGGGCAAAAGCAGACCATACTTCATATCCATGGGCATGCCCTTACCGATATCGTGTAAAAATTGCGGATATTGGTCGAGTGCAAACGAAGGCTTGTCAATGATTACACCAACATCGCTGATGACAGCGGCCATAAGGGCAGGACGCTGTGGTATGGCCATTACGTTCTCAGATTGTTCGGACTCGTCCGGCAGGTCATTCATACCCCACAGGATACCACGCAAGTCGCTGATGGCACGGCTCTGTGAATTCAACGCTCGGTCAATACGCTTCTTCCAACTTTGAGCATTGAACTCCTGCAACTTGGCATGTGCCTTTTCAACGGTACGAGTGTTTGCGCCATTGAAGTTAGCCTTGCCATCAGTGTCATATCTAATCTTGCGATCACGACCTCTGCCACGGCGTTTCTCAGGAGAAGATTCTTCGTCTTCTTCTCGGAGTGTGTGGATCGAGTGAGCACTCTTACTTCTTCTATGGTGTGACGTTGCAGGACGAGACAGACTACGTCTGCGAGATGGCGGAGGTTGTTGAGAAGCCGTGCGCACGCGCGAACCTCTTCTTTGACGTTGTGAGTCTGCATGCTTGACCTTGAGTCTGAAAGCTTCTTCACGTGCGAGACGCTGCTGTTGCTCAACAAGGCCAGCACGATAAATGGTGCCGAGCTTCCATTCGAAGCCGCTGTCCTCAATCTCAAAGAGCAACAACTGGGCACGCACAGATATCCTTGGAATCTTTTNTGGTCCTTCGGGATGTTTTTCCAAAATGTACTCGAGTGTTCCAGTGCTGAAATGATGGTGTAGTTGCTCACAGGTCTTGATGGTGTTGACAATGTTGTCAAAGATTGCGTGCAGAACCAAGCCGTGCGGGACGCCAATACGAATCACATCTGTCGTCAAGTCGAAAGACTTTGTAATCTCTGTCTTTTGGCCGACTTTGTTCTTCATCTCGCGAAGGTCGAACCGTAGATTCTTGACGCTGACGACACGACTCCAGACTTGCTTCATGTTAGGAGTACCAGCAAGCAGTCGTACAACCTTGAGTCGTGCAAACGGCGTAGCCCATCTATGACGACCGCAATCAGCGCCGAAGATTTGTATCATCAAAGGAGGATCAGCGGGCATATCCGCCTTGACTTGAATAAGGTTCGCTTTGAAGTCGATTGTGGTTACTTCACTCATCAAGATTTGATCATACTGAGAATGATCACGAGTCTTGACGGGCGAGCTGGGCTGATGCTTTTTACTTTTCTCATCAGCATGGTGTGATTTTAGCGTCAGGAACATTCTTCTGAATGTCAACACTGCTACACCAATAGAGAAGTGCTTGTAGAGCGAGTATTTCAATTGCAAGCTCTTAGCATGCGAATTGATGTGGAAGAGTGGCCCTTGTATATCGCTAGAGGTCGAAAATGCGACCTCGAACTTCGGCAAGTTGATGAAAGGATCGGCGCTCGAGTCTTCCACGGCGTCTATTATATGGCCCTCCAGACCTTGTATGTGCAAAGCTAGCCTTCGCCCATCGGTCGGTAGTGTTTGTTTCTTGCGCGGAGCCTCCGGTGTTGCCGATCGATCGTTCCTATCGCGTGAGAAAGATCTGCTGAGTGATCTTCGTCGTGGTACGGGAACGTATACGTCTTCACGATGCGCCTTATACTCTGCTGACCACGACTCGAGCTGCAAGGCAAAGCCACGAGCATATTTGGAAACAGCTTGATCCACGCCTGCTAGCTCGACATTAAAGTCAGCTCCTTGTATGCTGACATGCTGTAGCCAACTTGGAATCTGACGAAGGAAACTTGGCTTCTTCACAACTGTGGCACCACCGTCCGAGTCTGTTTCTCGGCGAGCGGCTTTTACAATCTGGCGAATACCTTCAGAGATTTCTGTCCGTACCAGGAATACCGAGAAAGTCTGGAATCTACCATAGACAAAGACCTCGGGTTGTGGTAGCAAGTTGATGTCAACCTTGACCTCGATGGTGTCTGTCTGTAAGAGGTCATGCTTGTGGCCAGCATTTGTCTGGTAGTAGAGCTGACTCGAGGTTTGTCTGTAGTGTAGATGCAAGCCGTACTTGACGGCAGAATCAGTCGAGGAATGTTGCGAGTCAATATCCAAGGACATGGTTGAAGTTGACGAGATGAGCAGATCATACTCGACGTCTCCAGAGTAACACGGGCTCAGCGGAGGAAGTGACACCCTGACGACAGGTTCCTGGACTGCGATCTTGATGATAGCCTTCGGCAGGAGGCGAGATAAGAAGCCGCGACTTGTCAAAAGAGGAGGTTTTGAAGACTTTTTCGAATCCTTCCGTACCTTTGCGATGGCTAGTAGGAGTGGCAAATGTTTTGGATCCAGATCAACAGATGGCGAGGTACAAACAAGGTTAGCAAACAGTATGTTGCTGTTACGCTCCCGCACGTTGGTGCTGTCGTCTGGCTCTTGTATGGTCTTTGATGGGAGGGTGGTTTTGACGGTTGCGGTAACCATGGGTACGTATAGCATGCGCTCCGGGTGGTCGTGACCGTCATCCACACCAGCCGAGATGGAAATGGCAGTAAGCAGCGCTTGATGGGCAACGTCTGACGGCGAGAAATACATGCGATGGGCTGGACTCCTCGAATCAAGACGCAGGAGATCTAGACCTAGCTCCTTCATGGCCATGTTGAAGTAGACTTGCTGACCAGAGGTATGCAGAGACCTGATGCGCCTGGAAAGACCCAAAAAGCCAATGGCCAGTTGAAACTCTTGTATGCCCTTGAGAACAGAGCCAATAAACTCTCTCGACTCTGCCACGGCTTCCATGAGCTGTTCCTCGCGATTCTCGGCATCCTGGGGTTCCTTGAGCACATCGTTGATGGCAATCTTGGGTGCTTGCACAGATGGCGAATCTCGGGTTTCGTGTTTGGCAGCACCGCGAATCTGATGCAGCTTCTCGTTCGCGTCCAGCAGGTCGTCATATGGAATATCCAGGCGACCTAGCTTCAGCGCAATCGAAGCATCGCGCAGACCCTCGAGATGCGGATGTAAGAAGCCATGGATGCTCAGAGACATGCCATCCAGGATTTCGGAGGACTCCTTTCCTTCGGGTGTGAACAGTATAGATCGCACGATGCTCTTCCATTCGGCGGGGGTATGCGACGAAGCCTTTGTCTGGTCGTGCTGGAACAAGCGACTGCGATCGACCGTCTTTGCTCTCGTGTCGACAGCCAGGGTAATGCGCTCGACGGTGACGGTTCCCACGTCTTTGATGATGATGCTGCTCGAGACAGCGACCAAGTCAACCAGACACAGATACCGAATCTTTGTATGCAATCTCTTGATCTTATCCTTGACTTGGGTCAATTTTTTCCATTGCGATGCGCCGTCGTCTTGCGACTCATTCGATGCGCCATGTTCGTGTTCGTGTTCGGATTTCGTGTTGGCCGCATTCTGCAATGCGCCAAAGTCGACAACGACCTGAGGCTCGGTCAGGTGCAGACTGATCCATGTGGGCTGCGCAAAAGTAGGTCGATGGAGAGACAGTCCGACGCCTCTAACGTATATCTTGATGCCATGCTTGGGCGAAAAGGCGATGCGACGGAAGCCCGAGTAGCCGATGCGCTGGATACTGATGCCCGTGAGGATACGGAGCAGCGCAAACAGGACAAAGGTCGAGAGGTAGGCGAGAACCAGGACGCCGCCGACAAAGGACGCGGTAGGCAGCGGCATAGCGCTGACAGCTTCTATTAGAGATTAGGTAGGATATATGAGGGTTGCTATCGCAGCACGCGATCTCTCTTTTGGACGGCAGTCTTGTCGCGGCCTGTGGCATCTTCACTGCATGTCCGTCACTGGAGCGTCGATATAGAGCGTAGACGTCAAAGGATTGGACGCGGGCTGCACGCGAGCGCAAACGACTTGGTAAAGGATGACTTGGGCCCATCAATTCCATCCATAAGGGGACGTCATACGCAATGTCACAGAGCCTCGAATTTGTGGACATCCGATCCGGGGATGCCGGGGATTTGGACTCTTTCCTTCTCATTTAATGCCAGAGAAATCACCACTTCTAGCTGACCAGTCTATATTTCTGCATCTTGGATCTCCTGCTTTCTTAGCACGGGCACTCAAGAGCCCACCACAAACAGCAACATGCAGCTGCGACATCTGTGACAGACGTCTACCTCTTTCTTGTTCCTAGCTGTCTCCGCCGGCCATGTGCGGAAGCTTGCATGCATGAAGCTTTGCACAATCAAACGGTCCGTGTGTAACAGACGTGCAAAGGCAATTCTGCTCCATCGTACTCGTACAACTCTGCGGAGCGCCACCGGTGCTTTCCTTGGAGATGCTACTGCAGATAGGAGCACAGCGAGACTCAGAGTGATCAATACAGAAACATAATGATTGATAGAGACAGGTCCAACTCCAGCGTTGAGAACGTTAATCAGATCCAAGGAGATGGATGTCAACATGCCAAGATATGTCAGGGTTCTACTCACGGCAATAGATGAAAGCATTGATGGCGACATTACAGACGACGGTCGAAACATTCTGCAAGTCGTATACAACTGTTATGATTATTTGTATATCTCTCTGTGGTCTGATGGCTCTTGGTAGCTCTCAGTTGCTGTGTTGTCGAGTGATACTGCTTTGAAGTTTTCGCCTATGCTCCAATATGAAGATGGCTCCAAACCTTATGGTTTGAAAGTCAGTTACATTCTTGCCAGAACACTTATATGCTATCTGCAAGATGATATCGAATCACGACTCTGCTCCGTTGTTGTGATGTGTACCCTTCTATTCTCTCGTCTATCCGATTGAAGTCCCAGAAAAATGCCTGAAAAAGAATAAGAAAAACAAAAACACAATCTCCGTATGTACATCCTTTTATAACAGCCCTTTGGCATCAATCTGTTCGACCTATTACGCGGCTCCAGCAGCGGGTGCATCCCCAGACTCTCTAACAACCTTGTCAATAGCTTGTGCCACCATCTTGACATTATCCCTGTTCAAGCCAGAAATACTCGCTCTTCCAGAGGTGAGCAAATAAATATGTTCCTTTCTCAAACTCAACACCTGTTTCTCCGATAGTCCAGTGTAGCTAAACATGCCATTCTGATTGATTATGTGTTCCCAAGAGCCCGGTGTGGAGAGAGCGACAAGTTCGCCGTAGAGGGCAGCGCGCATGGTCTTGATGCGTCCACTCATGATGAGCAAATCTTGCTCCCACTCCCTCTTGAGCTCGGCGTTTTGGAGGATAAAAGCAACGATTCTAGCGCCATATACAGGAGGATTGGAGATTTCGGCTCGTTGGAGGTAGATCAGGTGACTTAGTGCTTTGTCTCTGGCGTCCTCGCTGGCGGCAACAATGTGGAAAGCACCCACTCTCTGTCCATAGAGTCCAAAGTTTTTGGAAAAGGATTGCGCAACGACGAGTTCGAGAGTTCCGCGCGAGACAAAGTGGCGCACTGCCCAGGCGTCTTCGTCGACGTCGCCAGAGGCGAAGCCCTGGTATGCAGAGTCGAAGAAGGGGAAGAGGTGTTTGCGCTCGCACAGGTCGGCGATTTGCTTCCATTGATCCTTGGTGGGATCGATACCTGTAGGGTTGTGCGCACACGCGTGCAGCAAGATCAGATCGCCAGGTTGAGCCTGCTTCTCCAGCGTATCCATCATGCCCGCAAAGTTCAGACTGCAGGTCGCGGCATCGTAGTAGGGGTACATTTTCTGCTGCACATCGGGAGCGGCAATGTCGAAGATGGCGTGGTGGTTGCCCCAGGTGGGATCGCTGACCCAGATGGTGCTTGGCTTGAGGCTGTCGTTCAGGAAGCGGGCGCCGAGATGCACAGCGCCTGTTCCAGAGATGGTTTGCAGAGAGCCGATGCGGGAAGTCAGTGCAGCGTCAGGGTTTCCAAAGAGCAGGTCGCGTGCTGATTCGACAAAGGGGTGAAGGCCTTCCATGGGCAAATATTCGTGATTTGTGGCCACGTCTTCTGCGATCATCTTCTCGACCTGTGATTTGATCTTGTTAGTCCATATTCGTCTTGCTTCTTCTTTCACTACAAAACAAGAAAGAGACGATCGTTAAGCAGGCCAAGATGTGAGAGATGTTGGTTGTCTGCACTTCAATGTCCATCATTCCATTGCCTCAATTTCTTCTTCCAGAGGCTCATATTGCACTTCCAAGCTCTTTCGAGAACAATCAAACGACATGAGAAACAAAAGGAAAAGCAAATTCAAGAAGAAATCTCACCTTCTTCACCGTCGGCAACACCCACGGCTTGCCCTCCTCATCTCTATAGACGCCAATCGTAAGAGACGCCTTCTTCTCAGCCGGATCCTTGGCGTAAAGGCTCATCAATCCAAAGATGGGATCTCCAGGCATGGTCTCCAGGTGATTGAAGAGCGAAGTGCTCTTGGTGTGCACAGGCAGTTCCTCGCGAGTGTAGCCCATGATTGCGGTATTGTTGAGGTTGCAAGAAAAAGGTACAAGAGAAGATTTTGTCAAGAGCCAGAAATGTTTATCGAGAGATTGATTGATATCAGAGATGCAAGTGAAAGACTCGTCGGATGGCGGAAGAAGAGGTCAACTTGTATAAAACAGTCAGGCCGCTTGGATAGATGACTCCTATCAATCCCTCGACATACCAAGGCGGCTCCCCAATCTTTTTCATCGCCCGCTGCAAAATTCCACCGGTTTCGCAGAGGATTGTGCTCATGAAAGACGTATTCGGAAGGTCTTTGCGGGGATATGCACGCTCATGCAAGCTGATGCAAGGCACGGCAGCAAAAGGCCGTTCTCGGAGGCCGGAGAAGCACGGGAAGAGCTGTGATTGTCGCACGGATGCGGACCGCTCCCGTGTCTGGGACGACATCAGTTAATGCATTTGATAGATATTAAGCAAAAGATACGATGTGGAAGATAAGTGAGATGGTTGTGATGACGGTGTATCAAGAAAACTGAAGAGGGGGAGAATGAATGAAGACAGGATCGTGACCATGAATTGGCGATAGCTAGGCAGCCAGTATCTGATTGAGGGATGGTGATATGTGGACAGGCAAGAGCGTCCAACGAGGAGCATAATAATACAAGATCTATATTTACAGAAGATGAAGTCGTGTGGAGAAGACATTCCTTACATCTCGAGTCGCTTCATACACTCGTCGTAGCCAAGCACAGCCATGACTTGTGAGCTTCCTGGCCCTGGTCGTCCAAAGCATAGCTTTTCCCGCAGATAGCGATGCAGTGACTTGCTCCATTCCTTTAACTTTTCTTTCTCCACTTGTCCGTCTACTGTCGCGCGAGATTGACACATATCCCCAATCGCACTGGCGTACTCTTCTATTGCGGTATCCAAATGCTGTTTTACTTGCGCATAGTCGGAGGATGTTTTCGGTGATACGCTGGCGGTGTTGACATGGGACATGATTTCCATAGTCGCGTCATGAAGGTCCGATGTGGGAATCGAGGATTCGGTTGATGGTGAGACTGGCGGTAGAGTGGTGAAGAAGTAGGCATTTCGCTCTACGTATGATGTTGGATTCTCGTAAGTTTTGGCGTCGATGAAGAGGATGTTCATGATGTGTGTTTTCAGATCCAGGCCTCCCATTACCGCTTCTGATGTAGGATAAGCAGTCCTCGCGGCTGACTCGATCAAACCGATCAAAGTCTCAAACGAAGGATCTGACGTTGAAGATTGCATTGCGCATTCGATGATGATCTTTGCATGGTTCTTCTGTAGGTACCACAGTTTGTCGAACGAAACAATCGAGTTGCCTTTTGTAAACTTCAGGTCGAATAGTTCAACCAGCTTGTGCATCTCCAAGACGTCATCGCGAGTAGGATTGCGCCAGCCCAGCAGGGCAAGGAAGTTGGCCAGACTCTCGGGCAAGATACCGTGCTTTGTCTTGAGAGCTCCGATATCTGTATCGAAATTGCGCTTCGAGAGCTTTGCTTGATCCTTGTCAGTGAGCAAACCCACATGGGCGAAAGCCGGTGGTGTCCAGCCGAAAGCGTTATACAGAGCGGCGTGTAGAGGTGTTGAAGACATCCATTCAGTACCACGAATGACATGTGTGATTTTCATGTAGTGGTCGTCGATGACGTTGGCGAGGTGATATGTGGGGGTCCCGTCGCCTTTGAGGAGGATAACACCTTCGACAGCAGCTCTTTGTGGTAGCGTCTTTTTGGACTCGAGCGAGACTTTGCCATAGACAAGATCAGACCAGCTGGGGGCCTTGTCGGGCTTGGCGAATCGGACGGCGTGTTTCTCGTTGCGTGCTCTTTCGGCCGAATGCTCCAGAGGGATGCTGGCACAATCGCTATGGCAGCCGCCAATGGTAGATCCGACTAGCGAAGCATCGACATCAACAGGGGCTTGGGCTGTGGAGCTGCAGAAGCATCTGAAGGCGGCCTTTGAGTCGACGAGTTCCTGGGCGTGTTTCTGGTATAGGGNGGTTCTTTCAGACTGCTTGTAAGGACCGTATGGACCACCGACTTGTGGACCCTCATCCCATTGGATGCCAGCCCATCGCAGGTCGTCGCACAGCCTTTGTTCGGCATCAGGGACCAGCCTTTNTCTTCTCCCATCAGCTCCCGAGTATTGATGGGCTGATAAGACGGCGCTCACCTGATCTGTATCCTCTATCCTGAGCAAGAATTGGCCTCCAGTTCTTTTGGCGAGCAGGTAATTGAAGAGAGCGGTACGTAGTGAACCAAGATGGAGATAGCCAGTGGGGGAAGGAGCAAAACGTGTTCGTGCTGGGCCAGAAGGAAGAAGCTCACGAGTCGAGTGTCCCTTGGCCAGGCGGTTGGCGGTTGTCGAGAAGGTCTTGACTGTGTTTAGAAAGGTAAATGCGCCGGAGGAGGTTTCGAAGTGACGGCTGGCCTGAGTGGCTAGCCGATCAAAGCATGATCTGCAGACGAAGGTCGACTTCTGCGACCGTCGTGGTAGGACATTGAGCAGTCGCGACATTCTCGGTGAACGTGAACAGGAAAGAGCGACTGAACAAGTTATTATTTGGTCGGAGGTGAAGGCAGCGCAACTCCGACCCCGCGCATGTGCCAAAGCTTGGCCTTCGTCAACAGCGATCCAGCTGCAGCGTCCATCATTCGTATCTCTCTCACAACACACACGCCAACATGGACGACCCAAGGAAGACGTGGCGTGAGTGCAGCTCTGTCTCTATCCATCCACCACAAGTACTAACACCAACACTCAGAGCTGGACAATGCCGTCAACCTCACCGACGCCACTCGCGATCAGCCCTACGCCTACTCGGTCGACCAGCAAAAGGACATCAACAACAAGAAGCCATGGCGCTCGGATCCCAACCACTTCAAGCACGTCCAAATCTCGTCTGTCGCCTTGACCAAGATGGTCATGCACGCCCGCTCCGGCGGCAGCATTGAAGTCATGGGCCTCATGATCGGCTACGTCCTCCACGAGACCTTTGTCGTCACAGACGCCCTCCGCCTGCCCGTCGAAGGAACAGAGACCAGAGTCAACGCTCAAGACGAGGCCAACGAGTACATGGTCAAGTACCTCGACCGTTCGCGCCAAGCCGGCCAGCTCGAGAACGCCGTCGGTTGGTACCACAGTCATCCTGGCTACGGCTGCTGGCTCAGCGGCATCGATGTCTCGACCCAATTCACCCAGCAAACCTTCTCGGACCCTTTCGTCGCCGTTGTCATCGACCCCGACCGCACCGTCAGCTCTGGCAAGGTCGAGATTGGTGCTTTCAGGACTTACCCCGAAGGCCATGTCCCTTCCGACTCTGCATCTGCTGGCGAAGGCATGGCCGCTGTTCCTCTNGCAAAGGCTGCCGACTTTGGCGCCCACGCAAACAGGTACTACTCGCTCGAAGTCACCCACTTCAAGTCGGCACTCGACAGCACTTTGCTCGAAGCCCTTTGGAATAAGTACTGGGTCCAGACTCTGTCATCCTCGCCTCTGTCCGCCAACCGCGAGTATGGAACCAAGCAGATCGAAGACCTGGCTGGCAAGATCAACCAAGTCACCCAGAACGCCAAGCACAGAGGTTCAATGTCGATGCGTCCAGGTGCCAAAGGCGATGCGGCCATGGACAAGGTCGTCTCTGCCGCCGACAAGATTGCCAACGAGGAAAAGACTGGCCTGCTGGCCGCCCAGGTCAAGGAGAAGGTCTTTTCGGCCCCTGCAGAGAGCGCGAGTATCGGTGACGGTAATGGAATCGAGGTCAAGATGCAGGAGGCCATGGAAGAATAGAGACGGATCTTCTAGACGATGATGACACGACTTGCATGGGTTTGCTGGAGTTTATATGGCTGGAGACATGCATCATCAACGGCGTTTTTATAGGGCACAGACGATAAAGTCATGAGGCGTTCTGAGCATCAAGAGCGCGATTGCAACATCGACACTACACAAGACTTGATCCTCATCACTTCGTGAGGTCCTTGTCCTCAATTTGATTGTGTGATTGTATCCTTGTTACATCCAGATGTAAAGCCACTCGGTCATGAGAGGATGAGTGAAGGTTTGAGTAGAGGGTTCCAATATACCAGCAAAACTAACAAGAACAGTGTACCGCCAGATCGGTTCTGATCATATCCCTCATTCTTTCAAGCAAAAAGGGGCAGCCCTCTCTCGTCATGACTGCTCTATGAACTTCTTTCTCTGCACAACACTTGTTTCTCCCACATCTTCTTGCATCTTCTTTATTGCTGCGCGCACTGAGCAGCCTCACCTTCCTCTTCAGAATCGTCTTCCCACTCGGCGGCCCTCGGGTCCCCTGATCCAGCGCCAAAGTCCTCCATGTCTTTGACAACTTCCCAATCGCACTCGTCCACCTCTTCTGCTGTGATGGTTTCCGTGCCGGTGGTAGGCAACACGTCTCTGATTTTGTTGATGGTTTCTTGGTTCCTCAACCAGCCGTCTTCGGGGAACACGACGTCGACGATCAAGTACAAGTCTCCCTTTGCATCTGAGCGCTTGATGGGCATGCCCTCGCCGGCAATCTTGAGAATCTCGCCCGGACGCAGGATGCGACCTGCCGGTTGAGTGACTTGCAACGAGATACCTCTGCCGTCCAAGTGTTTGAGCACCACGCGGTTGAAACCCGTGAGCGCTTCTTGCAGACTCACCTTCAGCTCTGCCTGCAAGTCTGCTCCCGCGCGATGGAAATGCTCGTGTGGTGTTTCGACCAACTCGAAAATGATGTCGCCGGGTTCTTGGTCGGGGACTTGGTCTGCTTCTCCCGACAGCACGATCTTGTCGCCTTGACGCGAGCCTGGCGGGATGTAGAGTTCGAGGATCTTGCGTTGCGAGGTTGTGCGTGCGCCTTTGCATTNTTTGCACTTCTTGTCGTCGGAGAAGAAGGAGCCGCGGCCGGAGCAGGTGCTGCAAGGTACGGTTTCTTGGGTGACGAGGCCGGGGCCTACGGGTCTGAGAGCGATCTTGGAGCCTTTTGAGTGGAAAAGTCAGTACAAATGTGGTTGTTTTGTTGGAAGGAAAAAGAGAAAGGAGGAGGGGGAAAAAGAATGCGTACCTCTGCCATCACAAGTACCGCACTTCTTTGGCTTTGCATTCGCCTTTCCACCACTGCCCTCGCAGTTCCCACAGATGACGTTCTTGGTGCTGGCGAACCGTGTCGTTTTGCCCTTGTACAGTTCCTCGAGCGAAACCTCGTACTCTTGAACTTCATTCTTGCTCTTGCGTGGGCCACCTCTGCCACCACCCATGCCTCCCATCCCCGGCATGCCCCCATACCCNNTCAAACCCACCCCCATCCCACCCATCCCCTGCCCAAACATTTGCGCAAGGATATCGTCCAAATCCGGCCCTGCCCCTCCTGCACCAGGATTCCCCTTTTCAAACGCAGCCATGCCGTGCACATCGTACATTTCGCGAGTCGAGTCATCCGAGAGGATCTCGTAGGCTTGTTGTATGTCCTTGAAGCGATCGTCTGCGGCCGCGCGTTGGTCTTCGGGGACCTTGTCTGGGTGGTGCACGCGCGCGGCTTTGTGGTAGGCTTNTTTGATGTCGGTTTTGGTTGCTTCCCGCGAGATTTCGAGAATCGAGTAGAGGTCAATGTCGGACACTGTTTGTTTTGGTATCTTGTATTAGAAATTGGAAGTTTTTCTTTTTCTTTTTCCTTTTTGGTTTGGCAGATGGGAGGGGGTGTGATTTACTGGTTGCGGTGGTGTGTCCTGTATCAGACCGGAACGTATTAGAGGTTTGGTGGATAGGATATGAGCGTCTAGAGAAAAAGCGACGTGTGGTGGTTATAGAGACAGAATCTAGAAAATCAGCTTGACAATCTTCTTTCACGATTCGCTTTCATGCACGTCACAAGTTTGAAACCCGCCGCATGTGATTTTTTTGCGGAGAGCCGCATGGTCTGCACAACTTCGTCTTTGCTTCCATGAGCACAATAAATTGTGCATAACCATCTCTCCTTCCATGGCTGCAGCAAGGACTTCAGACACCCACCATCTCTTGTACATTCTTCATCGATCACACAGTGCTTGTGATAGAGACGTCACAAGTCCACCCTCCCGCACCCAAAATCCCCGGAGAGCAGCATGGTCTGCACAAAATCTAGTATGATCGGTGTGCATAACTCCTGTGTATAACCTTGACTATCGAGCAACCAATGTCTTTCTCATGATTCAGAGCAACCTTCTGCTTCATTGCGATGCTTCAAAAACTAGACAGAAGTGAGAAGAAGATGAGCAAGAGATATGTATACTTCGTAAGCATTTCTTTTCGAGCATACCAACAATAGAAAAAAAGACGCCAGCCTTCCCTACAAAGCAAGGGTATGAATGATGAAGATGATGACTTGGACAAAGCAAGAGATACGCCATGATCCATGCTGCAAAGAAAAAGTCGAAGAGATGAACCGTCTACAGAGAAAAAGCACCATTGGAAAAACACCCCTCACCATGCGCCAAACACTCCATCCCAATGATACATGAGAACAGAGACAAGGGAAGTAGGACTATGATGCAAAGACTCGGACGTTCAAGTCAACACTACCTGTTGCAATGACACAGCGAATGCTGATCTTGGCCGCCTCGTCGCCTGGTTTCGATCCATTGGTAGCAGCATCATTGTTGGCAGTGGCAGCATCTTTGATCACTCCTGGCGCCCAGCGCATGCTGCTGACAAAGTGGCCGTGTGCATCCTCGATATTTTTGACACATTTCCCCTCTTGCGAAAGGTCCCAGCAGCGTATCGTCTTGTCGTCGGCGCAACTGAGTAGATACTTGCCTCCTGGATGGAACAGCAGAGCTCGGACCCAGTTGTCATGACCGACAAGTGTTTTGATCAGCGTTCCTCTAGCATCCCATAGTTTGATGAGCTTGTCACGACCAGCAGTAGCAACAAACTCGGCCGAGCTGGTTGCGGGAGGGGCTTTCTTGAGGCCAGCCATTGAAGCTAGGTGAGGATAGGCAGCAGCGGGGGCAAATGCACAGCATTCGATAACGTGCTCGTGGCCGACAAAAGTGACTTTTGCATCACCAGATTGAGTATCCCACAGACGAGCAGTTTGGTCGTTGCCAACAGAGAGAAGCCAGCGACCATCGAAACTTGGAGCAACGTCGCGTACCCAATCAGCGTGACCACGGATGGTCTTGAGACAGTAACCAGTCGTGACGTCCCAGATCCTGATGGTCTTGTCTCTACTAGCACTGGCCAAGAGGTTTCCACTCGACGGGGCACCGGCGGCGCCAGAAGGGATGAAACGCACAGCCGACACACTATGATCATGGCCGGGTAGAGTGCGAATGTTCTTGTATTCATCGCTCGGATCCCAGAGTTTGATGGTCAGGTCGGAACTACAGCTGGCCAAAAGCGTGCCTCCGCGTGGACCACCGTAGTCAATGTCGAGAACACCTTTGGTGTGGCCTTTGATTGTGCGTTCGAGCTCGCCCAGCTCCCAATCCCAGATCTTGATTGTCGCATCTTCAGAGCCCGAAGCCAGAGACGAGAAGACGGGATGGAAGGCGACACATGTGACGGGTTGGCGATGCGATTGGAGGGTGTGGCGGGCTGGAGAGCGTGGTAACCAAGTGGCAGGATCCTGATTGCGACGCGACAGGGAGGTGGGAGTGGCGGTATCGAGTTCTGTTTGCAGGGTTGTGTTGCGTGATTCGAGGTCCATTATNNCTGGTCGAGGGTAAGGGCGATGCCACACAAGTCGCGTTGGCTGGGGACAGGAGCTCACCTTCTTCTGCAGGCGGACGACACTGGTCCACTTCTTTTCCAAGAGACCCTCATATTTCTTTCGCGTGGCATCATCGAACTCGTCGCCAATGTTGAGCTCTTCGCGGAGGGACGCGGCCGTGCTCGTCAAGCCAGCTGCTGTGAGGTAGGCGATCAAGGACTTGTGNNGCTATCAGCACATCAGCCAACAGCATTCGGAGTGGAGAGAGGCGACGCACAGTTCTTCAGCCTGTCGCTGAGTCAAGAGGTTGGACATGGTTGTGGTGGCGCATAACAAGTCTTGAATGTCCAAGCTGGCGTTGTAGGCCTTGTAGGGAAGAAGTTGTACGGGCCTGCGCAAGCGGCGGTGAGGGCGTCCGAGTCCAAGAAAAGGGGAAGTCGCGAGTTCCAGCTGTGACGGTCGTTTCTACAAGATCGAGGGAAGGTGCGAAGAGTGAATGGGTCGAGTCTTGCTACTGCCCGTCGTAGTCGTCGCATGTGCTGCCCGATGCCGTCAGACGGGAATTTGGCTTTGGGCTGCCCTCGTGTTTGTTGTTGTTACGCCTGAGAAAGCCGGCCATATTCTTCTGCCAAACAACAACTACTCGTACTTCCATGACGGCATATTCAGTGTGGAACAATTACAAGGCTTGATAAAACGACGCAGCCAACTTCTGCCTGCCATCGCCTCTCGCCCATCGCATTCCGCTCTCCTCTTCTTCTAGCCTTCTCTTCGACTTGTAGCCTTCTCCTCGACTTCTAGGTTTACGGCTACTCTTACTCTGGACCGACCTAGGATCCAAGCCTTCACAACACCGCCAACATGGCCGAAGAGCAAGAGGACTTTAGCAAGCTGCCCCTGGCCGATCGCTTTGTACACAAGAACTGGAAAGTGCGCAAGGAAGGTTACGAGACTGCCACAAAAGAATTCAAGACTGCGCAACCGAGCGACCCCCTCGTCAAGGACTTTATCGCAGACTCCAACATCTGGAAGGGCGCTGTCGCCGATGCCAACGTCGCTGCTCAGGCCGAAGGTCTTAATGCGCTGAATGCCTTTCTTGAGATTGCCGGCAAGCCTGGCTGCACCCGGTGCGCAACTCTCTCCTGCGCGCAAACCTCTTCTGCGCGAGCCTCCTCTAGTCGAGAGTTCCCAGCTAACACATACCCCTCAGCNACTCGCACATCCACAATCCAGCCCATCGTCGAAAAGGGCGTGACAGGTCGTCCCGCCGCAAAAGCCGCTGCCATCGAGGCCCTCCTCCTCTACGTCGAACTCGACATTGCCGATCCCGTCATCGAAGAGCTCATTCCCCTCCTCTCCGCCAAAACCCCCAAAGTCATCGTCGCTGCCTTGCAATCCCTCACCGCCATCTACCACGCATACGGCTGTAAGACCGTCGAGCCAAAGCCCATCGTCAAGCTACTACCCAAGGTCTACGGTCATGCAGACAAGAACGTGCGCGCCGAAGCACAAAACCTCACAGTCGAACTTTACCGATGGCTAAAGGAAGCCATGAAGCCCCTGTTCTGGGGAGAGCTCAAGCCCGTCCAACAGACAGATCTGGAAAAGCTGTTCGAAAAGGTCAAGGATGACAAGCCCACACAAGAGAGACTGCTCAGATCTCAACAAGCTGCACAAGAAGCCGCAGAAGAGGCAGGCGAGGCTCCCGCTGAAGATGTTGAAGAGGAAGAAGACGGCGCAATCGACCTGGAGCCAGAGTTCGAGGCTGTCGATGTCATGTCAAAAGTGCCGGCAGACTTCAGCGAACGTCTCAACTCGTCAAAATGGAAGGACCGCAAGGAAGCTCTTGATGAGCTCTTCACTGCCGCCAACCAACCCGCCATCCAGGAAGGCCCATTCGACGATGTCATGCGTGGTCTTGCAAAGAGCATGAAAGACGCCAACGTGGCTTGCGTTACTGTGGCTGCAAACTGTGTCGAAGTGCTCGCAAAGGGTCTGAAGAAGAGCTTCTCCAGATATCGCTCTACCATAATGTCGCCCATGCTCGAGCGTCTCAAGGAGAAGAAGCAGACCGTTACTGACGCTCTTGCTGCCGCTTGCGACGCCGTCGTCTCGGCCACTGGTTTGACTGACAACCTCGAGGAGATGCTCGAAGCTTTCAAGCACAAGACTCCTCAAGTCAAGCTCGAGTCCGCGCGTGTGCTTGTGCGCTGTCTGAAGAACCTTAGAGAGGTGCCTCCACCTGCTGAGCTCAAGACCATGTCCGATGCTGCCAAAAATCTGTTGGCAGACTCCCAAGCACCACCTAGAGAAGCAGCTGCTGAAATTCTTGGAACCTTGTGGAAGATCATGACCGACCGCAACATGCTCCCTCATCTCGACGGCATTGACGATATCAAGAAGAACAAGATTAAGGAGTACTGTGACAACGCAGAGGTCAAGGTCAAATGGAAGCCCAAGGTGGCTCCCCCTCCCAAGCCTGCCGCCGCTCCCGCAAAGAAGCCTGCTCCCGGAAGACGTCCCGCACCGGGTGTAAAGAAGGCAGCACCTGCGCCAATCAGACCCGCTACCCCGGAAGAGCCTCCAGCTGCTGCACCGCTAGCCGCTCGCCCAACCAGCAGACCCGGAGTCAAGCCTGGCCTCAAGTCGGGACTTGCAGCACCTGGATCAAAGATGAGAAAGCCTGGTTTGGCACCACCAGTCGCTTCGCCTAGAAGAGTAACTTCTGAAGATGTCGAGATGTTGGACGACCCACCGACACCCGCTCCTGCACCACGTTCAGGACTCGCAGCACCCCGTAGCCTTGCCGCCAGACCACTAGGAAAACCGACAAACTCGTTTAACCAGAGCACAAACGAACCCCCTCAAGAATACGCTCCACCTCCTCAAGCAGCTCCTTCGGTCTTGAGTTTGGCTGAAAGATCAGAACTTTCGGATCTGCGTTCAGAAGCCGAATATCTCCGTTCTCAAAATAGTGAACTGAGAACGGACAAGATGAGACTCAACAGCCAGATTCACGAACTCCAAAACCAGAATGCACAACTGATCGAAGACCACACTCGCGATGTGCTGGGAATCAAGGCCAAGGAGACTCAGTTAGTCCGCGCGCGAAGTGATGCTGAAGCTGCCGAGGAACGTGCAGCCGGTCTTGCCCGTGAAGTAGACAGACTGAAGCGTGAAGTAGCTCGTTTGGGACGTGTTGAGCGTGACCACAACCAAGACACCCAGATGCACAACAGCGGCTACGCCGAGAGCAACGGTACAAACGGCATGAGACACTACGACACACCAATGGGCGGTATGGGTCCGCCTCGACCTCAGTTTGGCCGTCCTGGCGGTGGCGTGTCATACTCATCATCTCAATCACGGGAGCCCAGCGGTGAGACACACGAACACGTCGACTCTGCAGCCGGACTGGAACGCATCACAAGCCCTGTGAGCGGATTCAGAAGTTCAAACGCACCATCCATGGACCACTCGAGCAGCGGCCGTGCTAGTCCCGCGGTTTCCGGCTTGCAGCGCAGTGCAAGTGGTAGCAGACCTGGAAGCAACATGGAGCAAAGCTATGGAGCAGGTCTGGGCTCAGAGTCTGGTGTCCAAAGATCCTCCATGTCGAGGGGACAAAGCGGTGAAGGTGCCACTGGTGGTGTAGAGAGTTGGAGACGTGCTGCCGAGGTGACGCAAAATCTGAAGGCCAGAATCGAAATGATGAAGGTATGTGCAATTCCTCCTGTTTTTGATCAGAAACAGTATGCTAACTTATATCTCAGNGCAAAGCAGCAGAGTCTTCAGCGCAACCACTAGATTAGCTGTACGGTCGCTAGCATGGAAAGGAGTATTGGCAGGACAAATGTCCTTTTTGTGTCTTCCTTTTGCTCCAACTCTTCTTCTTCTTCTTCTTCTCGATACCTACTACTTTTCTTTCCAAGGGCATTGGGCATTGGAGTTTTTTTGCTTCTTTCGATATAAAGTTTCCACGGACCTTTGGCGGGTGAACAAGTTTCGCTTGTGCTCTTTCGAAACTCTTTTTTTCTGGGTCCAATCTACTGTTTGTGACTTGTTTCTCTATGCGTCGTTTACGTGGAAGTCATGCACTCACTCTGAAACATCATGATGAAGTATGCATCGAGTGTCTTGCATCACCCGACATGGCAGCTTCGAAGTCGATGGAATGGGGTGTTTCAGTGGATCAGGTAGCAAGGAAGGTCCATGATGTGCGCTCCGCTATCATTCGATTTTCTCTGCAGTAGGTGACTCGTCTAGATTGTATGACAGGATTACCAGGTCTGTAAGCCTCAAAAGATCTTTGCCACCTCGGCCTTCTCTTCTATCTTTGAAACATGCAGTGTTGTTCGCGGGAGCTCCGAAGCATATACCAGGATCTCACAGACCCAATTTGCTTTCCTTCTTCACTTTGTTCTAGCATCTCTATGCATCAAAAGACATCTCGGTGTCTATCGAGCATTAATCGACGTACGGCTATGCTTGCCAATGGTTCAGAACATGATACTTACCCTGAGTTGCGTAAAAGGTCCTTTGATTAATTGTTTCTAATACTTGCAGAAGTTTGATTTTGGACTCTTCCTAAAGGTTCCTTATTCTAGGAATTCATTTCTTTCTCCAGAAAAACTATCACAAGATGTGCATGCGCCACAAAGATCTGGAATGCAAGATAGAAAAGGAAGAATTGCCTTTCGCTGCATCTTGGTTAGCGCTAGACGCTGGCAGAAAGATGTAGTCACACGAATGCGTGTAGATTATCTTTTCTCGCCATGTTCTTATAGATTAGATGAGAGTTCGGCTCGAAGACCCTTATACTTGCATCCCCTTGAGCAACTTCTTTGGAACTATAGATATGCCGCTAATAGTTCATTGTTTCTCTTAGATCCAAGACACTTCCGCTTAAATTTCTCAATGTGCTTTACAAGAACAACCGTGGGTTACTCGTAAGAATAAGATCTAGATAAGACGCATGTATGTTTCCATGTTATAGAAGGAGTAATTAGGTCTGTGATGCTATTTCCAACTCTATCATCTCTTTCCAGGCTCTTGCTTTTTAAAAATCCAGTTGGCCTTGGGGAGGTAGAGAGAAGTGGAAGAGGACCATAGACCTGGCTTCTTACCATCTCTCGCCTAGCTTGTGTCGAATGTTGTTTTGTCACACGATCTTAATTCTTCACCGATCTTAATCTTCCACGTGGATAGTCTGCCTTTTGCATGTTTTTCTTATATCGAGTTACGAAATAAGGTAAAGAACAAAATAATGTTGTCAATGATATATCATTGTTGTTATACATGGCACCAAGGCTCTCGAAAAATGCATGCTATAGGCAAGATTTCGTCGGTCTCTTACAGATGATTCGAATCACAAGTGCATTGCCACTTGGATTTCTCGAGTCTCTATACTGACTGCAAGACCGTAGATTACACGATGGGAAAAAACAGGCTGCTAAGCTTTCACCGCCATGGTTACAGCTACCCGTAAGGTCGAGGTCCATACCACGTGATATGGGAATCTTAACCATGGGCCTCAAAGACCAAAGACAAAGTCAAGGAAGCCGAGCTCACTGGCAAACGTGTTGTAGAGTAGCAATAAGTGTTGGTAAACGTACTAATATCCTAACGTGTAATGAAGATTCTCGAAGGGAGTAGAGGGTTGGTCAAAACAGGAACACAGGGCAAGAAATGACCAGGTTTATGATTCTGGCCAACTCCCCTATCTTTTACTAATCTATTGATCACCAACGAATGACTGTTATAGAGGAGATGGAGAGTAGCTAGAAGGACGATCAACGACCTGTTGCGCCTACCATGAGAGCGCAAGGTCTTACTCATCCCCGCCCAGTTCGCTGTGGAATCGTGTCTGTGGTTTGTACAGAGCGGACCCTGCACGACTCGCTTTCTATACTGAGAGGCTATACACAAGACCCAGGAAAACAAAGAACTGTCACAACAGCGTCAAATCGTTTTGCAGAAATACTTTGCAGATAGGGGAAACGCAATGTATTCAAAAAAAAAAAAAAAAAAGGAACATATCCCATCACCACGTGTTCCCATGTCCAACTCTTCCAAAATGCGGTTGTCATGTCTCGGAAAACCGAATCAAAGTTACGGCGGCTGAAAATATACACAAGTACATTGATACCTCGATACATGACTACCGTTCTTCCCCCCCTCTTCTCCCCCAAACAAATGTCCGAAAACCGCAAATTTCCCTCCCAAACTTTGCTCATCGCCGAACTACCAAACTTGGCTCTTTGGTCGAAAAGGAAGGTGCTGGCTGTGGTGTAACTTTTTCTCACGACTCGGGACTTGAAGCTCGGGAAATTTTCTTTTTGCTGTGCGAAAACGTTGCAAACTGCAAGGGCAGAAAACGGTGCGAGGGGTACGAAGGGGGAAGTAGTTTTGGACGTCGTGTCCTGAATTTTGGTTGGACTTCTTGCAGTGGTATACGATGGATTCTTTTTGGTTTCTTTGCGATAAGAGCACAAAGTGGAGGCAATATCTGCTGTGTTTGGATTATCGCTCTTCGTCTCTCTACTAGTTGACATCTATAATAATAGTCCAAGACTGTAAGGAAACTCAATTCAGGTACGTAATCACAAAGACACGAGAAGGTGATAAAATCATTTATTGATGGGAATTCCAGGAAACCCCATCTTTCAGCGCCCCCGCAAACCACGAACAGAGAAACATCAGCTGCTTACATGGCACATAAGATTCCTTCCCTCACTTTATATCAAGCTCATAAAAACGGACGAACCCCCAAGAAAAATATCAGAATCGTCTAAGTCATTCTACCACCCTTTGCGGTACAAGCAATAGCACTCTTTGCATTTGTGGTGGTGCTTGAGATGGTGACGGTGGGCGAAGATGTTACCGTCTTGTCGGTAGTGTACACAACAGTCATGACAGTCTTTGTGGTGGTGGATTGCTTGAGGGTGGTGGTCACGACAGGCAAGTGGTCTTGCCGCTCTTGACAGTGACGACAGGAGGAGTAGATGTGGAAGTGGAGGTTGCGACAGTGGTTGTTGTGAGGGTAGTGGCATCGGTCGTGACAACAGATGTGGAGGTAATGTAAAGAGACTAGAAAAGCGCAAGTTAGCAAACAGATGACGAAGGGAAAGAAGGGGTTTGCAGCGTACAGTATCGGTCTGAGTCATGGTGGTGGTGGAAGAGTCGGGGCACGTCTTTGCAACTTGTTGCTTGCCTCTCTTCTGGCCTTGCGCTCGGCGATTCTGGCTGCACGGTCGAGCGGTACTGCACGGTCGAATAGGCCACGGCGAATCTTTTGAGCAGGAGCAGAAGAGGAAGTAGAGGCAGCTGTGGCAACAGCATCAGATCCAGAGTCGTCAGTCGACAGAGCGGCGGCAGTAACCAAAGTGGGAGTGATGGTGGCGGTCGGGTCGGGCCACTTTTGCGATGGAGGCATCGAACATGAAGCAGTGATGGTCTTGGTGGTAAGGATGGGGACGACGGTGTAAGCCGTCTTCCTGAGTGTTGCCGTCTTAGTGGTCACAATTGTGGAAATTGCTGGTGTAATGGTCACAGTAGGAGACTGTTGACATAAATGTTAGTCGATATTCGCATAGAAGATGGTCAATCAAAAAGCTTACCTTAGTCACGGAAGCAACCGTGGTGGTCTTTGCCACCAGTGTAGTGATCGAAACGATGGTCGACGTCTCAGTGATTAGAACAAGGGGAGTGGATGTTGAAGTGACCGTCACCGTGGGGGTGTAGGTCGTAGTCGAGGGAACGCCAACATTGAGATAGAAATCACGTTCGTAGGCAATGGGATCGTCATTACCATTGTTGGAGATGATCAAAACAGACCAATCACCACTCCACATTTCATTCTTGTCCATGGGACATGTTGATAGTTCAATAGTATCATCAGGCTGAAGGGNGGTATCGGTGCATTGGTATTCGTCTCCGTTAGGGTCAACAAGGATGTTGTTGGCGACGTCGTTGTCACATCCCTCAAAGAGCGAGGCGAAGGTGAAGGGCGCGGTTGAACTGATGTTCTGGAAGTAGTTTCCGTTGGTTTGGAAGTCAACACCGAATGACAGACATGTCTGTGCTACGGCGCGAGAGCTCAAGAGAGCAGTAGCTAAGAAGCCACCAAGTCTCAATGCGGACATGTCGTGAAGCGTATGGCAAGAGAAGAGAAGAGAAGAGAAGAAGATCAACGAGAGTCAGCTGGGGCAATGAAAGACCTAGGTCGGGGGCATGGCATCTATTAATCTAAATCTGCATCCTTTGGCATATCCGACCAGGACGCGGACTCGCTGTGTCATGGAGCATGTGAGACTGGGCTTGCCCTGCTAGCTTGTTGGATGCTAACCAGGAAGCCCGAAGATGCTCTCCGTATCACGCTATCGTTCGTGGCCTGTTTCGGAGAAGCTCATAGCAGATGCGTTCGGACCAGCAGTCTTGGATCCTGCCATGGGCAAGCAAGAAGACCCGAGCGCGGTTCGCTAAGCGCGATATAGACGAGACCCATATTGGTCTGGAAGTGGGCTGAACACGCCGCATAACCCGGATGCAGCACGATATCCGAGGAATGGATACCAAGAATCGATTGCCTATCTGGAGGGCTGAACGAGAACGATGCCATGGATACTGGTAGGTTACGCGTGTCTATTGGAAGACGGCATCGCACGATACCCGATTGTGCTGAGAGGCTTTTTCGGAGCACGAGAGTCTTGCGCAAGGAGCACGAGACAGGCACTGTTTACGGGACCTGGCATCCGAACTGGCCTATGTTTTTTTGTCCAAGGGACCGACCACGAGAGCCAAGATCCATTTCTGAATTCTGACTTGAATGTTCATATGCGGTGAAGAGATCTTCAGGGTTTGCGCATGTCGGCAGGATGCTCGATGACATGACAGCGTTCGCCAATGCGAGAATACTAATGTTTGCTGGCATTCGATATTGCACCTTGATGCATAGTAGGGCTCGGGACAACAAACGATGGTTTGACGTGTGTAGAAGCCGGACTTGATGCGGGGACTCCGGACATTTTTAGTATCGAAAGAGGCGTGTAACACGGACCTTTCTCGTGATGCGGCTCTTGGAAGCAAAGGCTTGACATGTGGCCAGAATCAGATGGGTAACACGGCGCTGCGCTTTTTCTGCACTGCGAGGCTTCGTGGGCAAAGGATCAAATCGAGCGAACAGAACTTACATGATTTTGCCGGGTTTGGGGGATCCAGAATTAGACTTTGCTGATACGAATGCCTCTGAATTCGCGTCGAGGGGAGTCTGCGGGAGATGGTGGGCGCCGAAAGATTGAGAGAGCAGAAAAAGCTGTGTAAATTCAGTCCATGGAGAGGATTGTTTATATGGAGGGACAGCTACAAGCACATCCTGAGTATGAAATTAGGATCGTCTTGAGCAGAATAGCGCAAGATCTGCACCTACTAGATACAACAAACAGCCAAAGGAGTGAGAGTGTGGCTCTTGATGCAACCCTCCGGATGCCGCTCGTATCTGAGCGAGTCGACGGCATGAACCAGTCCAGATACAGACAAGCCCAGGGCGTCAAGCCACACATGTCTGGGAGCTTGTGGCAGAGTCTCTTCCAGCACTGAGATCAGACAGCCACAGCTCTTAGCTAGGCTATGAATGTCCGACAGCACAACTCCAGCCGATGGATGTTTGTCGCGTGTTTTGATCAAGGAACGGCAGACCGATCCACAGTGTGTCGCGGTTTCCCGCAGAAATGCCAGATGGATCCCCGCATGATTGAGCTCGGGCCAAGTGAATCCACCTCGGATCGCAAACATGCCACTTGCACGATCTGTGATGACGACTCTTCGCCCTGACGAGGGAAAGCCGAAGATAGGGTCAAGAGTCCAAGACACCAGCCGAGGGCGGATTACAGGCAAGCAAGTGTCTTCCGTGTCAGACTGTATGAGCTATTGGCGCCGCTATCCATCAAAGGATGGATGTGCCTTGCAAAACAAAGGTATGCTGACAAGTATCGGGCGGGCAGTGTGCTATTTACGGCAGGTACAAACCAGGGGGAGACAATGCGGTATACCTACAGCAGGCTATTCGTGTAACTGCACGAATTAGGTTTTGTGCTCTGCTATCTTCATAGATTCAGAAGATGCTGACTAGAGATGACCTTCCGTTTCACGACACTGGTCTTCGATGCATATCTGCTTCTTATAGATGTACTTTCTTCAGGCCAATGCAAACAATTTACGAGCAGCAGATTTGAAGCGCGCAGAATACATTTGACATACCGCCGCCTTCGCATCAAGTCGCTGTACGATGAGGAAGCGACGCCTCCCCATGGCCGAGTCCGACGCAGGCATGCGACTCCTGTATGTACATGAGTACGTGCTTACTTTGCATCAGGCCTAAGCTTAGATTCAGCCAAAAGCCTTCCCGCGCGTCAGATCGGCCCTGGCTGGGAAATTTCCTATTGGCCAAATCGACCCTCGCCTCACCACACATCATGATCTATCGCTACTTCGGGCCTGACTGTGAGGCCCGAATGAGGATCGACCCTGCACTTTCTGCTGCTGCATGCAAAGGTACATGACAGCAGTGAGACTTTCGGAGAGAACATTGAATGCCAAGTTCGTCAAGGCCGCTTCGCTTCCATGCCGCCCTATGCCCTGCCCGAACATTGCTCTCACCAGCAATATGGGTCAGGATGTAAAGTCAATTCTCCGAGACTTGCAATCCTCTACGATCCTTGCTTAAGCCGTCTAGGATTACCGGAAACCCATTTAGCGCCACCGGGATGTCCAGTATAGCTCACGACCTTGCTCACCGGATGAGCTCGTGGTTGTCACTGTCAATGTGGAGAACGAGCTGAGATGCACTATTCACTTTTGCTAGTCCCGCCATGATCAGTCTTGGTCTAGAGCAATGCAGATTGAGTCGTCCACCTCCATGTGGGAGGGCTTGATGTGGGTGTACTGGCTCGGGCCAATATATATACGAGCCTCGAACCAACTGATAAAGTCGGACTATCCACTCATCACTCGTTGAAACTTCTCAAACTCCCTCAATCGCTCTCATACCTTTCTATTCTCGGACACATCATCCAGATTACCCACTGGCTGACTGGCTCTGAGACTTGAATCATGCATTTTCAGAAGCTCACTGGCATCTGCCTCTTGGCATTCGCCTCCGTCTCATGGGCTGATGCAGTACCTGAAGGTCGCTACCTGTGGGGAGCTGACCAGATGGGCAAGATGGTCCGTCGTGCAACTTCCACTGTCAAAACATCGTCGACATCCAAGACAGTCTCATCAGTATCATCTTCAACACCAGCATCATCATCATCAAAACCTGCGTCAAGCAGTGTTCCTGCTTCTTCTGCCAGCAGTGCATCATCCAGCACCTCGTTAGTGGCAGATGCTGCTTGTACCAACGGACCAAACTCTCGTTCCTGCTGGAGCAATGGCTACAGTGTCAAGACAGATTTCGACCAGAAGCACCCAACCACAGGAAAGACCGTGCCTTACAACCTCGAGATCACAGAGACAACCTGTAATCCAGACGGTAATGGTGCTATTGTCTGCTTCCTCATCAATGGCATGCAGCCTGGACCTGTGATTACTGCCAACTGGGGTGATACGCTCTCCATCACTGTCAAGAACTCCCTCAAGAACAATGGAACTGGAATGCACTGGCACGGAATCCGACAGCTCAACAGCGTAGGTTCTGATGGTGTTGGTGGTATAACGGAATGCCCTATCCCTCCAGGTGGAAGCAGAACCTACACTTTCCTCGCAACTCAATTCGGTACTTCTTGGTACCACAGTCATTACTCTTCTCAGTATGGCATGGGTATTACCGGCACGATAATCATCAATGGTCCTGCCACCTCGAACTACGATATCGATCTTGGTACCTTCCCTGTCAACGATTGGTACTACGCGGGCACAGAACAGGTCAACGATCAGACTCTCGTTAACCTCCAGGCCGGCGCCCCTCCACCAAACGGTGACAACATCCTTGTGAATGGTCTAGGAAAGAACGCCGCAGGTGCCGGCTCGTATGCTCAGGTGACCCTCACCAAGGGCAAGAAGCACCGCCTGCGATTGATCAACACCTCTGTTGACAATGCTATCCGCGTCAAGCTTGATGGTCACAACTTCACCGTCATCGCTGCTGATTTCATTCCCACCAAGCCTTTGACTGGCCAAGATTGGGTCTTGCTTGCTGTCGGTCAACGATACGATGTCATCTTTACCGCTAGCCAGAGTGGTGGCAGCTTCTTCTTCCGCGCCGAGGCAGCTACCGATTGTTTCAGTGGCAACAACAAGGGTGGCCGTGCTCTGTTCACTTACTCGGGATCCACTGCCACTGAGCCTACCGACAGCAATGAAGTCCCTCCATCAAACGGCTGCAGTGAGCTCGTCACTGTTCCTTACTGGACTCAGGCTGTTGACCAGAGCCAATACTCCGCTCAGGTCAAGACCCTCAGCACTGGTGTTGCACCTGGTGTCACCACCAATGGCAAGAACTTTGCCCTCTGGCACTTGGACACCACTGCCATGATGGTCAACTGGGACAAACCCACACTTCAATATGTCCAGGAGGGCAACACCAGCTACCCCGATCCCTACGCCGTCATCGAAATTCCTACAGAGGGCACCTGGACCTACTGGCTCATTCAGATGGGCCAACAAAACCCACCTCTTCCTCACCCCATCCATTTGCACGGGTAAGTCTCCAGCACGTCCCCTTCTCCACTGACTTTCCACTGACACTTTTCCAGCCATGACTTCTTCGTCCTCGGCTCCGGCGCCGGTGTCTTTGACTCGAGCACTGCAAGCCTCAACTTTGCTAACCCTCCCCGCCGCGACACTTCCATCCTTCCTGGTCTGGGATGGTTGTTGATTGCCTTCCCGGCCAACAACCCTGGTGTCTGGCTCATGCATTGCCACATTGCGTGGCACATTTCCGAGGGCTTGGGAGTGCAGTTCATTGAAGCCAAGAACTCGATCACCATGCCTGATAGTGGGACTTTCAACTCGCAGTGTGATGCTTGGAGAAGTTACTCGGCTAACATGCTGTACCCTCAGATTGACAGTGGTCTGTAGATTTTGGTGCTTATCTGTTCCTTGGGGGCTTGGAAAAAGAGGCATAGGGAATTTCATGGGTAATGCTTTGGTTGGTCTGGGTTGGTTTCTCATATTTCCGTCTGGGGTGCTTCATGTGTCATATATGATGATCAAGAGTTATCATGTTTATCGAGTCAACATGTTTTCCCACTTTCACCTTCTTGCCCATCTGTGATTACTTCTCTCGACTGAGGCTATAAGCAGTCGTAGCACCACCAAGCTCTCATATTGTACTGCTCATCTCCCTGATCTTGACAGTAATGCTGCTCAAGGCTGTCCCTGTGCATTGATGTGCCGACTCATGGATGGCATGGAGCAGGTCACCTGTCAAGATGTCGCTATCGACAATAGACCAGAGAAGGTTATAATCACACTACCAGAAGACCATAGAGCCAACTAAGGTAGAACATCCCTCATTTGCAATAGCTCAGACTGCTAGTATTGACCTTGTCGTCGTTATCCGAAAATCGTAGCCAGGGTCATTACAGCAGCAAGTGGAACTTGGCACTAATATGTAATCTCAACACCACACGCATGTCAGTTGGACAGAGTGATGCCGATGTATCAGTTGCTCGAGAATCACAAGAGATTTTAGAGGCACAATCTCAAAGTCGATGATGACCTTGGTGAAACATCCGAGACATGTCAGACGGCAAAAAGGGCCCAAGCTCCAAGCTATCCCGGGACCCCCGCATCATGACATCAAGGTAAAATGTAGTCACTGTGACCACATCGTTCATGCAGTTGCTTACCGAGTGTCGAACAAAGCACATGTTAACCACAGCCTCTGTGCTCTCTTCCATATTCTTCTTATATCTACAACAAAAACTCTACAGATGCGTCCATTTACTCCACGCTACATTACCCAAACCGCCAATATCCTCAGCAGACCCGCAACCCTCCAATTCGCTAGAACTTCGCCTTTGAATCAGATTCAGTCAGCAACCATGTCGTCAGGTCTCAAGATTGAAAACACAAACATCAAGACTGCTCCTGGAGTTAGTCTGGAAGAGCAGCAAAAGACTTTGGTGGGAAGTGTGCTTGATTTGTTTGCCGGTCGCCCCAGTCTGGAGAAGCTGCAGCTTTGGAAGGATGAAGGTGTCTTTGAGGATCCCATTACCATTGCTGAGGGCAGAAAGCAGTATGAGGCACAATGGGTATGTTGCAGCCTTCTAGGACTTTGTTGTGTCTCGCATATGCTGACATTTTATTGTAGNTACGGCCTTCAGTCGGCGTTCAGCGAGATTGAGAGACTGGACCATGAGGTTACTTCCAGCGGCAACCCCATCAGCATGAACATGAAGACTCGCTACAAGGTCAAGGGTATTGGCATGGAGCAGACCATTTCGTCGGTGGTCAACATTTTCCACGAGGGCGGCAAGATTACCAAGGTGCAGGACAAGTGGAACGGCAACTTGCCCGAGGGCGCCATTGCCAACGCTTTCCGCAACCTCAACTCGGTCACGGTGCCCAAGATCATTTCGGTCCCCAAGAACAAGGAGGAGGATGCCGCAAGAGGCAACTAGAGACACCCTTCTCAGTAATGACACGTGTACGAACTAGCCATGCAGCATTTTGATTATTGCTCTTCTTCGGTCTTGACGTGACCTGCCGTAGCGACTTTCAAGATGTCTTGTTCAAGACCCTCAATGTGGATGACCTGCACACCAGCATCCTCAAGCTTTTTCCTGCCCTTGTTCTCGCCCACAAACTTCTCAGGCTCCTTGACACCAATATACACTTTCTGAATCCCTTTGTGCCCCGTACTCGCGGCACTCCTCGTCAACAAGACCCGTTCCGTACAAGGCAGATTCCCAGATAGACGGAAATCGCACGGCTCCATTGTAGTGTACAAGACAGTGTCTTCGGGCATGATGGAGCCCACATGATCTTCACTGATATTCATACTCATGGCCAGCTTTACGAGACAGCATTGCTCGGCGTGGGTGTTGCCGGCGAGTTCGAGGGTGTAGCCTGTTGCGAGGATGGGTTCTGGAGAGGAAGGGGAGACGAGCACGGCGCCGACGCAGTAGTTTGTGGGTTTGGNGGGTGAGTTGCGGGCGCAAGACAGGGCTAGGCGCATGTAGTCTAGATGTGACATTGTGGATTCAAGGCAAAAAGTGAGGATTGCGAGTGTTTGGTAAAGAGGTGTGATTTGTTGGTGAGAGCAAAAAGGTGCCTCGGTTGCCTTGGCGGGAAATTGGTTTCGCGTGTGAGTGGGCGCGTCACTCTGCCTGTTTCACGCGTTGTGCTTGTCAAGTCTTGCTGGCTCTCACTCAATCTTCCAGATCAACAACAACAACAGCGATCATGCCGACCAACATTGAAGACCTCGAGCTGGATGAACCTCCAAATGTCGAGCCCTACGAGGTTCTAGCCGTCGAAAAGACGGCCACCCAAGACCAGATCAAGACGGCCTACCGCAAAGCCGCTCTCAAATGGCATCCCGGTGCGCACCTTGTTGCCCACTACCCTCCTTCTCCACCTCTACTAACACATCCCAANGACAAGGCCAAACCAGAAGACAAAGACGCCGCCCACACCAAATTCCAAGAAGTCGCCCTCGCCTACGCCGTCCTCGGCGACCCCCGCCGCCGCACCCGCTACGACAACACCGGCCGCACCGACGACTCTCTCGACATCGACGACGACATTTTCAATTGGGGTGACTTTTACCGCGCCCAATTCGCCAATGCCGTCACCGAAGCCACTATCAGCTCCTTCACCACCGACTACAAAGGCAGTGAAGAAGAAAGAGATGCTTTATTACAAGCCTACACAAAGTACAAGGGCGACATGGATAAAATCTACCAACAAGTCATGGTTAGCAATCCCGCCGTCGACGAAGATAGATTTCGCGGCATTCTCAACGAAGCGATTGAAAAGGAAGAAATCACGCCGTTTGCAAAATTCACAGAAGAGACACANAAAAGCATTGATCGTCGCATAGCCNNGCCGCAAACGAAGAAGCAGAAGAAGCAGAGGAACACGGCAAGAAAACCGCTGCTGCTGCAAAAAGAAGAACAAGGCCTCAAAGACATCCAAAGCAGGAGGACAAGGAGATTTGTCCTCTCTAGCAGCNNCCTCATCAGCCAACGCAACAAAGCCCGCAGCGAAGACTTTCTCGACAACCTGGCTGAAAAATACGGTGCCACGGCAAGTTCAAAGAAAAAGGGCAAGAAGAGAGCACAATCGCCAGAGGAGCCTCCAGAGGAAGCGTTCGAGAAAACGGCAAAGAGAAAGACGAAAAAGTCAAAGGCTTAGACAGAGACAGGCATGGGGATACGGGTAATTTGCACATACAGAGCTGAGGGGATTGAGCGACACACATGCTTACAGCGCGGAGTTTTGGTCTTTTCGGATGGGTTGCGCAGCAAGACGGGGAACAATGTTCATAGGTACCTCTTTTTGCTCTGAACACAATGGCAGATGTTGAAATTACAAGACCACGGATATCCGTGATGCTTTGCTGCTGTTGACAACAAATCGTTCCAAGTACTTGTACTTTTGCCCTCTCCCGACACCGTGACCTGCAGCAATGCTCACAGCTTGAGCCTTGCATAAAAACAGCCGTTTTTGAAAAGTGACATTCTTGTCTTCTGTATCACAAATACCGAGAGTTCGTCAGGCACGCAAAATCGCCGAGTGGGTTTTCCAGCAGAAGCACGGGAACCGCGGCACGGGGAAGATCTTTTGTGATCGTCGCCCCAAAAGTCCGAGATCGACAATGGAAAGTTTGGCATCCACAACATGCAACACACAGATGCTCTTGTGCTGCTGTTGTGGCATGGTATGCTGGGATCGAAACACGACTGACTGTGGTAATGGTGGTGAATGACAGCTGACTCCAAGCTCTCAACGACTCGAACAGGAGATTAGGCACTGTGAGATACTGTGCGCAAAGCAAAGGTGTTTACAAATGCAAAGAAGAGCACGAATCGTATCTGCTTGAGATCCAGATGCGCAACGACGGCATATCTCGGTGCCTTTTCGTACTCCGACTATGATCGCTGCATGTCTCATCGACTCTGTTTCGCCCATGACTACGTTGCTCTTCTTCAGCTGTCATCAGCCGTGCAGAGCGCAAACCGCAATCGTCCAAACACGGACAGCAGATCTGGTGACTCTGTGCCTTTGCTCGCATGCGCTGCACGGTTCCCTCAACTCTGTTTTTCTCTGTGGCCTGCGCAAACGGGAATAAAGCGGGTCCAAGGCACGGAATCAGAATTACGGATCGCAGTGAGCTGTGCTACTGCAGTATAGTAACCTTGATCTGAGATGGTATGCGATGACCCTGGTCAGCTCTAGTAGGAGCAAGTGGGTTTCTTTTCTGAAATGTCCGGACATGAATGGTGTTCCATGACGATCAACTCTGCCATACTCCGAAGTGCTGTTTTTGTTGCCCTGAGAGAAAAGATCTGTAGACGAATACATAAGTAAGTTGATTTGTCTGTCTGGGTGTTGAATCTTGCTCTTGTAGGTTTGGCTGTCTGCTTCTTTTGATCACTTCTCTCTTCAGCTTCGTCTGTATATCATCAATCTTCTTACTTGCAGCACCATACTTTTGCATTCAAACATGCGATCGATATTTTTGTTTGCGGCCGCTGCCATCAGATCTGGATTCGCTTCTGCGCAATGTCAGGTCTATGGTATTGATATCCAGAGTGGTGGCACCTACTTCGAAAACAGCGAGTTGACCACTCCATTCTCGTTGGTCCAAGAATTTTCCGGCTGTGACAATGATACCGCCAATGTATGATTACACCTCTACACCCTTGCAACCCTTCAAAGGAAAACCTTGCTGATGAGAAGCGTCACACAGAATATCCTTGTGGACCCAAACGGCGATCAATATCAATGCTCAGATACACCTTTAACCCCCGACTACACGCCAGAAACCGTGACTTGCACCGACTGGCCCCAAGACAAAATGTACACCGGCGACTGGAGTTTGGTTGTCATCAGCAACAATGGCGATGCAGACCCCATCGCCTACCAACGAGATTTTTCGCTCCAAGTCGGCACCCCAACAACAATGACATATACACCCACCGTCACAGCCACCGATCTCGAGACTTCTATTTACAGCATCGTCTCTTCGACCACCAGCACAGTAACCACAACACTAGTCCCCAAGACAACAACCAAACGCGCTTTGATTGCCTTCGCCAGACCGACCTTGTATTCGAAACCATTGAATGTGCAAATGGTGACCAAAAACATGTTTACAGTCACCAAGACGCAATATTCGCCGCGGGTCACCCAAACCACTGTTGCCGTAGCTGCTTCATGCGCACCCGCAACACCAAACTGGCATCCCGACCCAATCGCCCGCATCCAAATCACCATTCTCAAGACCATCTTCCACAAACGCACCAATTCTGCGAGATTCAAGCGTGCTGCGGACGAAGATGTGGCTGCAAAGCAAGACTTTGTGGAGCAGAGAAGAAGAGCATTGGTGGATGCACAGGAATTGCACAAACGAGCTCCAGATGCTTCAATGGTCACCGTAACGGCGACCAACACTGCAGACTTTGTGACGAGCACGCAAACGCAATACACCACCATCACAAAAACCATTCCCACAACCATTCTCTCGACCATGTAAGTTTTTTCTTTGCACCTCTCCTTTGCCTTTTTTCCTTCTTCTTCTTCTTCTCCCCCTTTTCCAAACCATCCTCTCTCTGCCCCTTTTCTGTTAATCCAAATATTAACGTGATCACAGAACATCAACACCAGCAATCGTAACTGTAACGCGCGCTCTCCTCGACTTTGCAGCTCTAGAGACCTTGGTGCAGGAATTGGTGCAACCGACTGTTACGGCATGGGGAGTTGCGCATGAAACTACGACGAAAAAAGTTCCTTGGACGGTTACGATTACGAAGACGACGAGTGATGAGGTGTTGATGGCGGAGTGTACGGGAAAGGGGGCAGGGTGTGGTAGTTTTTGTAAGGATGTGAGGGATGTGAGGGATTGGATGGGGATAGGACGGGATGGGATGGGAGACTGAGAGCGTGTCAGATTTTTCTCGTGGTTTGGCTGGTTGTTATTACAGGAACAATTCCATCGATTTCCTTGTTTCTGAGATTTCCGCCAAAAAAAAAAAAAATTGCAGTACAGATGTTTTCAGATTTCTTTGTCTTTTGTGCTTGATATCGGGGTGTGTTCATTTTTATTGCTTTTTGAAGAAGGGGGGGGGGGGGGGGTCTACGCCTTTTGGATGTGTTTGTGTAGAAACTGTTCTACTTGATCGGAATACAGCCACTCTTTTTTGACCTGTTCATGTTGTATCTATACGGAAATTTGCTTGCTGCTGAATGGGTTGTATCGTGTCGTTACAGCACAATCATTGGAAGACCGACTCTACGCAAATCAGCCAATTTACATGTTGAGTTTGGTTTCTGTCCAGCCTTGAAGTTTCCCTTTTCTGTTATGTTGACGACTTTTTCTTGCGAATGTGGGATCGCAACAAAGTTGTCAAAAAGCCGGGCGATCTGTAGCATGACGAAGCAGAACAGATCAACTTGCCAGGATGTTAACGCTAGAAGCCATAAGAGTCGTTGACATGTCTACTTGCGGTCCATACTATAATTATAAAGGTTTACTGCAAGTAGACACGGAGAACTGACAGGAAAGACGAACCATCGGAGGCGTCGTCGTTGTGGGCCAGAGAAAACATTGGAAGCAAAGGCTACCACCGATGTTTCCTATCCCTAAACCCTCGTGGTGTCATAAGTCTTGATAGAATCACGTCTTTCTTGGCCATCTCACGGCTCAATCTTTCTTGTTGACTCCAACCCCAGATTGATGGAGTATGGCTGATGACGGCGTTCATATTAGGCATTAAATTCTTGAGCTCGCTCTCATAGTCCGCATGGAATGATAGTGGTGGGGCAAGTATTCACACTGCCTGAGGATTGCTACGTCAAATACTTAGATACTGAAAAATCAACCACGGTAAGACAATGAAGCCTGCTTGAAAGTATTGAAAGCAGATTGCTACTCGGTGCATTCTGGCCTCTGGCCTGTGCTTGGTCCTGAAGCATGATCGAGTGAATTGTACAGACAGTACGTGTGGCATCTAGTCTTCGTTGACTTCTCAATGCGACCCTGCAACCGACAGCTGCAGTTCTTCGAACCTGAGCAGCATATTCGCAAATTCGATTAGAAAGTAGTCGGCATATACCGACCCATGGTCTGCCGCTTGCTTGAAGGCGTAAGGAGAATTCTGTGCAGTGGCATGTCGCAAGATGGCGTCAAATCCACTCTCATGAATTAAAAAGTTGCCATCTTGGTCCAGTAAGGAGTTTTCAGAGTCCCCGGATCTCGTAAAGGAGGCAAAGTCTGTGTCTTAGAAGAAATCAAGCGTTTCTTCTACAATCTTGATAGCGGCATCAAGGTATCGGTTGTCGTAGTCTTGTTCCACTAGGCATCTTGAGGAGCTGCCAGCCAGTGGCGTGCCTTTTTGGCAAAAGACTGTCTATGATAACCAAGAAGTCACCATTTGCGTTAGAGAAGTCGAAGCGTTTGGTGGAAGTTTTGTCCCAGCTTCTAATCGCTTCCAACTCTGGGTCATAGCGACTGGCAAGCGAATGTGCAGCTGTCGACAGTACCGACAGGCTCTTTTCGTCTTGAAAAAATTGCCAGTGCTTACGAAAAGCTGGTTGTATGAGGAAACCAAGATCGTGGGTGTCGGATCTCTCAGAAATCCATTCGATCTTTGCTGCCCATTGTTGACATAGCCGCTCAAAAAGTATACGCGCATCTTCTAGACAAGTGTCAGGGATACATACTTGTTCTGCATGAGTACAAGTCGCTCATATGACGAGTGCAAACTGCCAGGGAAGAAGCCTGCAGTCCAGAATCTATCTTTATACAAGCAGCACCCGGCACCCGGTCCATCTTGAGGCACGATATCTGGCAGTCCGGACGTCTGATGTGGCGTTAGAAGGAGGAGCTCCGTGGTTACAGTCTTACCTGCTGACCTCGCTCGTGTCTGGCCTCTGTGCTACCTGCAGAATCTTGGCGAAGATGTTCTCAGCAAAGAGTTGCTGCAGTCCTGGACGTTGATGTATGGACATTTAATTTTGAGATTGGGCTACAAAGTTGGGAGGATCCTGTGTGTGAAATTCGCAAAGTCGTTGCCAGGGCGTGCCAACACATAAAGGAGCCACCAGCGCTTGGCCACACCAATGATGAGAAGATGACCCTTGACATGCAGTCGGAGACCTACATTCGCGACGCCATTCGATCGCTCTGCATGATCAGCTGCGGCAGCCCGAAATACTGATGTTATGACCAACATGGCCCTCGATCGTCGAATCAAGAACTGTATCGACCAGTTTCAACATGATTCATCAAACATCGACTCGGAGACACGACTTTTACATCATCAAGAGGCGTCCGAAGGTCGGAAGAACTTGAGCACAATTGGATCACATCTCCAGGCGAATTCTGCTAGTAAGTCGGCTCGATCTTGGTTTGAGCATGTATTGATAACCGTTGGTCTAGAACAAGCATCTCAAGCAGACGGATGAGTGCTGCGAGACTTCTTCCCATGGCTTTCTGCCGAGAACTTGACATACCAGAAGGATCTGGAAAGGGCACTATCACTGAGACATCCCGGAACTTGCGAATGGCTAAAGGATAACAACTTCTACAAGTCCTTCATAAGTGAAAACCAGAGTTCGATTATGTGGGTTCATGGGAAACCTGGATGCGGCGTATGTGGCACTTGCCGTCTGTATACCGAAGAGGCGTCTGGAACTATAACAGAAAACGGTCCTCCTCGCTCACGTTGCTCAGACGTGGAATACTAGGGCACCCAATGCTTCACCGCCAACAGGTCAAGTGCTTACTCACATGTCCAACAACAAGTCGAGCGGCGATTCAGCCAACACTTTCCTTGTGATGATGAGGACACTCGTTCAGCAACAATACGTCAAGATGCAGGGCTCGAGCATCATCATACCACTTCTCAGAGCCGCGATGAGCGGCCGCAGCCAAACACACGCATCAGGCGAAGAGCTTGCAAACCTTTTCATTCAGCTAGCACGGTCCCAATAGGAACCCACTTACGTGATGATTGATGCTGTAGACGAGGCGGAGACGCCTCTGGAGGTCGCAAACTGGCTACAAGATCTCACCCAAAGTGCTCATCCAAATCTATTGGTCAAGGTGTCTGTGACCAGTCGTCTTCTGAGCATTTGAATGCTTTGGAGCTGTTCTGTTGATAGCTCGTCTTTGAGTAAGGAGACCAGAAATTCTAGTTGCTCTGCGGTTGTTATGATGATGACTTCTTTGGGTCTGTTGCTCAGCCATAATTTGAGTGAGACAATCAGATCAATATCAAAATCGATGGTAGGTACCACCATGGAGACATGACTGTTAGGAAAAGATCTCGGTTTTTCAGGAAGTGGTATAGGGTCCAGAATTGTACCAACGACGACGTTTTTGATGACCCAGTTCACGAGTTGCCATGCACTACATTTCTTCAGTGGAAGCACTCAAGTAAGACCAAGAAACAACTCACCTTAGACAGGCCATGAAGTCGTCTACGGAGAACATACTTTGTTTCAGATACAGTCTCCGCCAGGCATGTGTAGGATATCGAAAGGTTTGGAAAGTACAAAATAATGTCCGCGGCGGTACCACATGCCTCTATTAAGTATGAGCTGCTGAGTCGCTGGATCGAAGAGGTTGCATATGGATCTCTCTGCATCCAAGAGATAATAGCAATCAACACGTCTATCACAATACCCGTATGAAGGCACATCCTATTGGATGCATTCTGTCGCGAGGGCTTGCATCCTCGGTCTCGCCGAGCAGCGAATAGAAACATAGCCCTATAGCAGAATCTCTGGACATTGTGTTTGCCCCACTTGGCAAGACAGAGTCCTCCTGAGAACAGCCCTACACATCTTTCAGTCTGTCAGAGGGGGATATTATGGAGGTATTACAACTTTTTCATGTGCCAGTGACCATCACATTGTGCAATCCGGCTACTCTCTCATAGCGAAGTACGGAGTTATGATGAGCTATCACAATGCACAGTGTCTTCTCCATTGAGGACGTGACTACGGGGATAGGTCTTTACATCAACATTTGACCGCTCTCCCAAGTCGAGTTATACCCAGTGATATCATCACCTATTCAAATGCACAGTTGTTTCCTGATCAAAATTGTGACCACGGAAATAGGCATTGAGATCTTCCCTGCCAAACTACCACCGCTCCTTCTGAACCAGTGTATAGAATGGAATAGGCATAGCCGTGGGCTTCCATTCCTCAGCTTGATGGGCACATGAGAATTCGTAAACACCAGACCCGACTTCTACACCATCTTCCTCCTCGCCGAAAATTTTGCTTGCTTGTTTGTCAGGCATGACGACTTTTGCGGTTGTGTTCGGCGGTACTGTCAGGCAGAGCTTAAATCGTCCGGCATCGATGGACCACTTGCACTCCATCATTCCATAGGGCGTTAGATGTCTGACCTCCGCATGTGTGAGCGAGCCGCCAGGTACAGGTCGGACGAGAGAGCGCTTCCAGCCTGGTTCAAGTGGACTAATGCCACCGACAACGCTATGTAGCCAGTTCACAATTGAGCCCAGAGCGTAGTGATTGAAGCTCGTCATTTCTCCCGGATTGATGCTGCCATCTGGCAACATGCTGTTCCAACGTTCCCAAATGGTAGTAGCTCCCATTGTGATCGGATAGAGCCAGGAAGGGCATTCGGTCTCGAACAACATGCGATAAGCCAGATTCTGCAGACCGACTGAAGACAGTGCATGTGTGACGATTGGTGTTCCCACGAACCCGGTCGCAACTTTGAAGTCTGCCAGTCTGACTGCTCTTTCCAATCGAGCCGCTGCTACCTTTGCTTGGTCAGAAGTTTTGAAGAGGTCAAAAATGATTGCCAGGGCCAGACCAGTCTGAGTATCGGCGATAGGGAGACCTTCAATTGTGATATATTTCCTGCCAAAAGCCTTCTTCAAATTCTTGTGTTCGATTGCATATCTGGCAGCTTCTCCCTTGCGTCCAATACAATCACTGATCATACTCATGAGATGTGTAACATGCACAAGATAAGCATCTGCAACAAAAGTGCCGTCCGTTTTCGCTTCTCCTGGCCTGTCCGGTGGTGCGCTTGGGTCCAGCCAATCGCCAAGTTGATGGAAGGAGGAATGCCAAAGGTCGTCAGTACCTCTCCTGACACCTTTCTCGAGCCACATTTGCATACTTGGATATTGGCGTTTGAGAATCTCAATATCACCGAATGCACGATAGAGATTCCATGGCAGCAAAATGACCACATCATCCCACACTGCTTGGGGAAAATTACCCCATGAATTGTCTCCTTCATCTGAAGCAAGGATATTGGGTACGACGAATGGCGGTATGCCGTCCTTTTCTGCCTGCTCGCTAGCAACGTCCTCTAACCAATGACTAAGCATGGCATCTGTGTTGAAAAGGAAACAGGCGGATGGTCCAAACACCTGTATGTCGCCAGTCCAGCCTAATCGTTCGTCTCGTTGAGGACAATCCGTCGGAATCGACAAGAAGTTTCCTCGCATACTCCAGACAGTATTCTCATGCAATTTATTGACGAGCGGATCTGAGCAAGAGAACCAGCCAGTACGCTCCATGTCTGTATGCATGACAAGCGCTTCGATACTACTCAATGCCAACGGACATTGTTCATCTGAGGGAGTCCATCCCTCTACTTCCACATAGCGAAAACCATGGAAAGTGTATCGTGGAGTCCAGTTCTCGATCACCTCTCCATTCGAAATGATAGTATCTGTAGCCGCAGCACTTCGAAGAGGGCGTACCCCGAGCTCATCATCTTCAATCACCTCAGCATGATGGAAGACTGTAACATGATCCGCTGGTTTCCGAAGATTCTTGACAAGCAACTTGCCAACAATGTTTTGACCAAAGTCGATCAAGGTCTTGCCAGATTTGCTGTTGAACATTCGTGTAGGTCTGATGCGCTCAGTCACCCTGACAGGAGGAACTTCAGATGAAAGTAAGTTGGCTCCGGTGGATGGCAGCACCTGTGTGGTCTTCCAGCCTATTCCGTGGAAATCGCTGTCGTTGTTCCAGCCAATCTGTTCTTCTCTGGCGTCGTACAGTTCACCATCGTATATCTGACTGGAGATGAGGGGACCTGGACCACACTCCCATGTATCATCTGTTGCGATCGTGATAGCACCGTCCCTCTCTGTCGCGACCACGTCAAGCTGAGCAAATATCCCAAGCTCTTTGCCATAAAATTGACGTTGTCCAGCCCAGCCAAGTCGACCAGTATACCACCCTTCAGCTACTTCGACACCGATCACATTGATTCCTGGCCTCAAGAGTTTTCGGACGTCATGGATTTGATAGAGGTGACGATGTGTATAGCTAGTCCAGCCAGGTGCCATTTCATCATTCCCAACTCGTTCACCGTTAATAAACACCTGGTACACGCCATACGCAGTGATGTACAATTTTGCCTTATCCACAATACCATCATATTCTGGCACGTTGAAGGATTTCCGGAAGCGAAGAGGCCTTGTTGGCAGCTGTCCTTCAAACTGAGCGTGGGGTTCAAACGAGCCAATAAATCGCGCAGTGAGTAGATCGTGCGGTGGTACAAATTCGACGATAGTTTCATGAGACCAGAATGAGTTTACGATATTACCGTCCTCGTCCTCACCTTCAACACGAACTTTGACTCTGCAGCTGCTGACCAAGGACAGTGGATATCCAGGCCAAGGTACCAGGACAGAATTGGAGCTCTCCACAAACATCTCTTGATGAGGTTGGCCCCATGCGGAGAGTTTGATCTTGTAACCAGTTTGATGCCATCCTTTCAGTGTGGGATCAGCAGCTTCGAAGCGCCAAGAGAGTCGCGGTTGGCGGTGTCCAGTGTGAACGAGCGAAGTCTCGTTGGTGTCGCCAGAACCGTGTTGTTCAATGAATGGCCTCGAGACCTTGATCCTGGCCATGACTGACGCAATGAAGTTGATTAAATACTGTTTGCTTGTGGGGAAAGTCATGAACAAGATAAGAACGGAAGGAGCGTTGCGGGGTTTCTTCGGCAATCTCGGTACATTATTCCCAGAGCAGTGGTGGCTCCTGCTCGCTCCAAAAAAGCCTGCCTGGAAGTTCAGTCCTGGTCGCAGACAAATTGACAACAATGTCATCACGGCTTGACAGACGGAGAACAGAAAAAGACATGTAACGTCGAAAGACAGCAATATGCTGATTGCGTATGATTCATTATGGTCGTCAAATATCGCCTCCACTCAAATCAGGTAACGGAAGCCCTTCTGCATCACGGACAGATCGTGAACCTCAGCTCTCTTCATCAACATGCTCAAGCGCTCCGGTGAGAGGCTTGTGCCTTCATTCTCCAACTCCTCGAGTGCTTTGTTCTGTCTCTGCAAGTAGAATCGCAGGACGCAAGCAAGCACAAACGACATGACCAACAACCCAGCCGCAATGCCAAGACCGAGACGGTAGTAAGGCTTATCGCCAGGGCGGTAGGTGAATGAAGTCCAGACAGAAGTCGAGTTTCCGAGTGCGTTCATGATGGCCAGAGCAGCAGCGCGCTTGGCAGGAGGTCTGGGGATCGCGTTTGAGATCCAGGCGTAGATTGTTCCGTTGATGGTGAAAACGAACATCATCAAGAAGAACGAAAAGTAGCGAGGGCCAAATCCGTTAGTAGTCATGAACACGACCATGCCGATGATCGCTAAGGGGATTGGGTAAACGAAGAACCAGAAGCGGTTAGAGACCTTGTCTGACGCCCAGGAGTGCAATAGCGACCAGAACACCATGAAGATGTATGGTGGTGCAACCAATAGCAGGGAGACGAAGGGGCCGTAACCAAGAGATTTTGTGAGAGTGGGGAAGAAGTTCTGGAAACCAGCAGCGCCAGTGACGCCCAAGTACATCAGAGCAAGGAGCCATGTCTTGGGATCCGCGACAGCCAACTTCATACCCTTCAGCTGCGACATGCCACCCTCTTCATCCTGATCGGCCTCAGTTGCATCAAGGGTGAGGCGCTTTGTGGCGACGTGCCTCATCTCGGGAGACAAGGCTTTCCAGGTTTCGGGGAAGTCGGGGAGAACAAAAACGACAATCGCGCCGACACCGATGGTGATTACGCCTTCAATGATGTACAACCTGGGTATCTTGTCAGCTGCGATTCCTTGCGCTTGGATTATCCGATCGACTCACCACTGCCACGCGCTGAGACCATCGTGTTGATCGAGTCCTCTCAAGATGCCGGCTGCGATCAAACTACCGAACGCACCACTGAGCAGGGAACCGGCATAGAACAAGGACATTCTCAGATTCAGTTCTTTCTTGGTGTACCACTTCGAGAGATAGAAGAGGANTACTGTGAATTGTCAGTACTGCTTGTGGGGTGCTTATCAGGATATCCAAGCATACCCAGGGAAGAAGGNGGCTTCTGTGAAACCCAGCACAACACGACAAACGAGGATTCCAGCAAAGCTCGAGACTTGACTGGTGACAGCCGATACCAAACCCCAAGCCATGATGAAGAAGCCCAGGTACCAGGAAGGACGGCCGCAGTAGTTGAGCAGCAAATTCGNACTGACCAGTCAGTCAGCTTGTATTCTCCGCCAGTATGTTTTGAGGGTAAGGCCTAGACTTACTGGAAGTTGAGCCAGAATGTACGAGACGAAGAAAAGAGAGAGACCAATCTGGTACTGATCGCCTATCAGACCCAGGTCTCTCTCGAGACCTTGCAGACGAGCGGCTGCATAGTTGTTGCTATCACATCGTAAGTCCTTGGCTCAAAGAACAGGAGTTGGAAACTCTGCTCACCGATCGATATAGTTCATCAAGTAGACCAGAACCACCAGAGGCATGATCAAGAGGTCGATCTTTCGACGCAACTTCTTCTCAATCTCCAATTCCTCAGGGGTCAACACATTGGCCTCGTCGGGCATGCCCTCGGCGAATTCCTCATGCTTGCTGTAGGCCTTCTCGTCCAAGATGTCCTGATGGGCGTGCGTCACCATGATAGACGAAATAAGAGGGTAGTGAAAAGACTGGTGATGTCTAGCGACGATCTGCAAAAGACGACGTTCCTCCAGCAGTTATATATGCAACCCTCAACGTGGCCATGGCTTTCTGCCCAGACCTGGACCCAAGCCACTAGCTCCAGAGAACCGTTGCAAGTGCTCGAGTCCCCCGCACTGGGTTGATCTGGGGTAGAGCTACGCGGGGTTGCACGAGGACCTAGCGCGACAAGCACCTCCTCGTTCCAAGACCGTTTGCTTGCTTTTCGGAAGGGGCGACTGTCGCCCTTGCGGCCATGCTGGTTGTCGTTGTATCTTCGGCGACTCTGGTACGTATCAAGCATCCTGGTTTGGCCTCGTCGAATGCATTACGAATTAGGTCATTGACGAGTTATCAACCCTCACGCACTTTGATATTGTCATGTTGTGAATCTGCTGCATCCAAGGCTAACCCGACGCAACAACCCAAAACCAAACTCACCCGAATCAGCCAAGCAGACTTTCCAACGACCAATAACCAAAACCTCCGCCGCAAAACTCGCCGGACGCTTCGGCGTGGGGTACGGTAAGAACACCGATCACCAGCATCACATGAGCCTCGCAGCAACAAGGTGGCTAGAAGTCTATTTCCACCTCCTGTCCTCTGCGGCAACTTGCTTGGTCCTCTTCCGAACACCACATGCGCGTCTTCAATCGGTATCGCGTCTCTGGAAACAGATATGTGCATTTATGGACTGAAGAGGTGGTTACAGTACATAAGCTTTGGTGCTTCGACTCTTGTTATTTAGGCAAGACTTGTGGAGGCATTTGCTTACGGGTGAGTACGGGGAGCCGCGGCTCACAAACGGTCACAGTGGGTGAGAGTCATGTTCCTTGTCAAGCCTTGTCGACTTGGCGGCTGACCACACTTCCAGATTGACGAAGATTGATGAAGGTGGTGGTTGCGATATGTGATCAGATATCTATGTGGTTATGAGAGGGAGAGAAGATCTGTCGATATCCTATCGTATATTGACTGACTTGTCTTCTCAGCAAACCCAGTGTTCGTTCACGCCCGAAGAGACATGACCGCTATTTCCGCTGCTCTGTTGAGACTCATCCCTCGTGCTCCTGCATTTCGACGACCTATTTTCGAGCAAGAAGTGCCGTGCCGCGTACTTGTCTTTCCTCAGCCTGCATCTCGACAAACAGATCCAAGCCACGATAGACCTCTTGCTTGCCTTGAAACTCGCATCTGGTAGAATACCATTGCGCTGCTGAACCTTCGGTGTATCCCCGAACACGGGTGTGGCCTAGGACCTTGTACCCTCGGTCAAGTGCGAACCAATCGAGAGTCAGATTCCTGGAGATCCAGCTCAGTGTCTGATCCCAATTTCCAACAATGGTCAACTCAAGAAGTTCCAGACGCTTCAGAGATGCCTGATTCCGTCTGAGAAAGCCAATCAGCTGTTCTTCTCGCAACATAAGCTTGTTTAAAGAGATGCTCTTCAAGGCGTTGTACCAGCCAAACGGATCGCTCCGATCTAGGACAAGTCTTCCGAGACGAGAAACATCGCAGTCGGAACTCAGCGTGAAGCTCTTGAGGATCTTGGGGATGCGTCGGACGATAGAACCTAGTGCATCAGCAGCCAGGTAATTCGCGTTGCGGCTTCCATGCCATGAGAAGTTGAGATGGAAATCCTCGAGAAGCATGAGAAGCGATGCGTGCTCGCGTGGAGATTCTCGAAAACATTCCCACAGAAAACCACGCGGCCAATGTACGAGTGCATCCAGGCTGATTTCAACCTTTCTGGCCACGCAGTTGGTGCATGAAGCGGCTTTCAGCATGAAGTCCAGCGTCGACACAATATCCTGATCATCAAGAATCTCATGTGTCGGGTCTCTGAGGTCCTTGAAGGCCTTGGCCAGTCCGATTGGTGAATATGGCGTGGAGAGTCGCTGGACGGCAATGGTGACAGATTTCTGATATTGCTCGAGAGTCATGAAGGCTTCTTTCATGAGTTCATGCGAGCTTGAAGACACTTCAAACTCGAGTTGCTCCGCGATCACGTCGACCAATCTCCGATCCCGAGATCTGAACTTTTTGACCCTCGCGACATCCTTTCTCTCAACCGCTTTCGTGAACTTTTCGTCCAGAGGTTGCAGAGAATATCCAGACGGCCTTGCGCTGAGCAGTTGAATCTTGCGCACTTGTGGGCCAAAAACAGGGTGTTTGCATATTTGGACCAGTGTCTCGAGGCTCTTTTTCGACATCATAACGAATGGATCTCGGAAATATCGTGTGGCGAACTCAGTCGTGGCGGCGGGATTCACCTCTTTGCATGTGAGTCGAACAGCGGCCAGATCTTTTGCTGAGAGATCGTTGCAGATTATGGCCAAGATCTCGTTGGATAGTGAAGTGAGGACCGGGCCTGTAGGCGGCATTGGATTTGGAGTTGTCCTATCGAAGAAGAGGTGGTCAGTGGCAGTCATCGAGAAAGAGTGCGGTGGCAGGCTTACATGATTGCGCAAAGATATGACGCCAGTTGTTGCAAGGATGAAGTCGGGGTTGGGGAGATGTGGCGAAAGTATACTTTTATCAGAAGATTGACGGTGTGTGCAGTGGCTGAGAAGGATCAGGCTCCAGTCCGGTCAGGCAACTACTGGCTCAACGAAAATGAACGAATGCAGGTAAGTGAAAGGACAGTGACGGAGAAGCAAACAAACAGTTGGGAATAGTTTTCTCCAATCAAATCAACACGTAAGGACGACTTGCAAATGCGTCACAGAAAGTGACCAGAATTGATTTGTTTTGTTGGGCTCGCGTTGCATCACGCCGAGATCAAGCCCCCTTCCTGAAAATGGAACTAATTATACCATGGAACAAGTCTCTGCTTTTCTCATCCGTGTTGAGACCCGAATGTCTGCTTCTGTCCATCATGATCCCCGAAGCTCGTTTCATTCGTGTGTTAACCGCTGCTCTCCATGGACGTTCTTGTTCGACTGTTCTTGACCTGTGCTTTAACAACGATTTGCATGGCTGATGTTTGGTTGTGAAAGGACTCATGCGGCCACATTTGTCTCAATTGTCCTCAAAATCGTCACGGCTCTGGATTCTTCTCCTGCTCAATGCTCTTTCCTGCTTTCATCATGATGACCCCTCTTGGCTTATACGAAGGGATGAAGTCGGATAAGATTGTCGAGTCCAGCGCGTGTATTCTCCTTGCCCTTGAGGCAAGTTCTCGTCAAGTTTTGAGATCTGGGCATAGACTTACTGTTGAGACGAGCGTCAGCACCGTAGACCTGGTCGAGATGGCAGTCTACCAGGTCGAGCTCCTTGCGTACCCGTGCCAGGAGTTTTGGCCAAGAGCCGATGAGCGTGACTCTCAAGAGCTTCATACAGATTAATGTGTGCTTATGTCTCCCCAGCAGCCGCAGAAGCGATTCCATTGAACAGGCTACGTTCTCAAGAACAAGAACTTGAAGACCGAACTTTGTCTCAATCTGGCAGATCTTGGTCATCGGCTCCACAGTGCTTTGTCCAACGATTCTTTTGCCTGTGCAACCTCCGGTGAACGCAAATTCTTGGAGGTTTGGTGCTGCTTTGAAGAGGTGCTCCAGAGAGGTGAAAGACACCTTGTTTCGTGAAGATTGAGAATCCATCTCGAGATGGAAAGATGTTAGACCTGGGAAAAACTATCGATCCCAATACGACCGATACAATCTCCAATGCCATTGCCATAGGCCACACGCCCAGTAAGGACTCTGATGTGATACTTGAGGCTTACGAACGACTTGCGATCGCCAGCGCTCAGTTCCGCGATGGCTTCTTGTACCAACCCTGATAAACTCTTCATCTTAGAGGCGTTGTTGAACATGTCGTAACACCGTTTGCCAGTGGCATGATCGTAGTCATAAGTAATGCGTGGGAGACCAAGAACTTCAACCAGATCCATGGACTCTGGAGCATTAGTGAACTTGATGGCGAAAGGATGCTCAAGTGCTGAGAAGGCTTTGACAAGGAGTTTCTTTGCGCCGAAAGTCTCCAGCTGTATCTGTTCTTTGCAGAGCTCCGCATGCTTACCGATCATTGCGAGGGTGGTAGCCAAATCTATGGGATCGCTCTTGAAAGGTATGTCCTGTGCATCTCTTCTGAGCCTCTCAAGAGACAGGCTGGTGGTCAAGAAGCGGACGGATAGAACGTAAGGGCGGAACAGAGGATGCTCGCAGATATCGACGAGAGATTGGAGGCTGTTCTGGGACAACACAGCGACAAGATTGGTGAAGTAACGTCTCGCGAACTCTCTTGTCGCGGCTGGATGAAGCTCCTTGGAAGTGAGGCGTAGAGACTTGATGTCTTTCTTGCTCAAGCTTGGTTCACCAAAGATGATGTTCAGCACCTCGTTGGAGCATTCCAGAAGGCCTGAACGCGAGGTCATGGCTGAGTTAGGTCTGCCGGATGTATGGTCAGCGCAGGATCATGGAAACTGTGCCGGGAGATCTGCTTACAGTGGTGGTCTGCCATCGGTGGTAGAGCTGAGCTGATCGGTTCGAAGCTGAGACATCTTGGTGGATGTATGAGGTCAGAAGAGGGAAGAGCCAAACCAATGTCAGATGATTGGTGTGTATGTTGTGTGATGTAGTTGATCAGGTGGATTGCGCTGGGAGATCCAAGCTGTATAGCCAAGTAGTGATGAGTTATTACGATGGGTGAGCGAGTCTAAGGTGAACCCTTAGATATAGTGTTGAAGGCAAAATGCAAGGATAGTGGCCGCTGAGATGTCGAGGCAGTAAAGTTGTGATCCAGATCGATGTCGAATGATTAGTATGTGTTTTGTGATGAGGCTGGTAGGGGAGTCAGAGGAGGAAACACCTCGAGATACAGCAGATGAGTGACGCGTTAGTGTGATTTGGAGAAGAAATCAAGTTGAAGTGGTCAACGATGCCGAGTATGGCGGAGCCGAAATGGAGTGAAAGTGGTTAAAGAAATGAACAGGCTCAACGACTGCTCACTTGAAAGATCAGTCTCCTCCCAACACATCGACCGCAGTTTGCAGTGCTGTTGTGAAGTTTTACAGTAGCTTAGAAGGAAAAGCACTATCATGAAGGGATACTCGAAGTAACCAAGACTGGTCGTGGTATCGATAATGCAGATGTGATTGTGACTGATGCCGAGCGATCAGCTTTGTACGCGACACTTACTGCTTCTTCTGATAACAACCTTGATCCACAGCAACATATCTGGTGAGGAAACCACGAGTGACTCTTTGTTTCTTCCCAAGCACAAGCTAGTATTTCCAGCGTTTTCGGCAGTTGCATCTTGTTAGAACCACGCCTTTCATATCATTAGCGGCACATCCAGCGACGTCTGAGAGAATGGACATCGGGAGAGATGATGCTGCATCGTTCTCTTCTATTGATAGCTTGTACATGGGTGATGCGAGAACTTTACTGCTGTATCTAGTGGGTAGAGATGGAACCAAACGCACCTTCATGGCTTGCATCAAGCTTAGTAAAGGTGAAATGCGAAGAGACCGAAAATATCTTTGTTACTCGTGCGGTCTTAAAGACAATTAATCAGCAATCGAACATCATGGCAGTGAGTGCTATCATTATGTCATGTCAAATATCTTCTTTTCTTCTTCTGTATCAATATACAGCCACGGTCCAACATGGATATTCCAATCCGAAAGCTCTAGCGCAAGGGGGCAGATAACCTTCACCTGCCAATGTATATCACTCTGTTTTACGGGACTATCGAGCATTTTTGTATCTTTGAATGTTCCATAATTTAACCCATGGAGAAACTATCCAGCTTGAAGCCAACATGCTTGCGGTAAGACACACATGAAGCGGGCTACGAAAACGAGAGGAGAGAGTGTTGATTGTGTATTGCACGAATAGAAAAGTTGAGCTAAAGAAAAGTTTTCGCGCGCCATTGGCTCATCAGTGCGACTATCGTACATAACCCGATCTGCTTGACTGTCTTGCACTATCAGCTCTTGTTCTCAATCCATGGGATATGCCATATGAAGGAGAGATACTGCGTCTTCCCAGTCTGGAGTATAGTCGGGAACCATTCTTTCCCTGTTTTTCTTGCCGAGCACATCGCTCAATCCAGATGTCACTTCATCGCGCCCATTGAGCTCGATACCACTTTCTAGCCATCCTTGCTTCCACAGATGTCCGTCTGGACGAATAGCTCCAGTGTCGTAAGTGTAGGCATTGATCATGACGAGAGCATTCGTCATATCCCAGACTCGACTAGTGAGACCACGGCACATCTCGAAATCTGTGTCCTGAGGTCTGTCCTGTGTAATCTCTCTGAAGCCGAGAGGTGCTCGAGGACCGGAGTGTAACGGATCCAAGAACACAGACAGGGTAACAGAAACACCATGTACTTGCAGCGCTGCAAATGCTTGCGCCAGCAGCGTTTTAATATTTCCTGGCACATCAACTCGAAGCTCATCCTCAACCTTCTCAAGGTACCAATTCATATGCGCCTTGGCCACTTGTAGAATCTCCAGTCTGTTATTCTGGATGAGATAGGCCATCCGGGCCTTAATCTCGTCCACAAATCGGGGGTTCATGCGATAAGGAGAGAAGCAGACCTCGTGGACGTAGGGACCAGTAAGAGGATGCTTGCATAGGTCGATCAGTTGTTGCAGGCTGTGACGCGATACGATAGCGCAAGGGCTACTGAGAAAGCGTTTTGCAAGTTCAGAAGTGGCTAGAGGGTAGAACTGCTTGCAAGTAAGGCGGACCGTTTGCAGCCAATGCTTGCCTGTGGCGCCACTGGCAGATGCTTCGTCGTCAACAGCATAGCCACAGATCTTTGCGAGTAACTCGTTCGGCAGCGAGAGTAATTCGGGTGGCGGATTGTGGGAAGACATTCTAAAAGCTGGTTAGCAGAAATCATCGGTAGCCCATGTGTAAAGATCTCACATGTCAGTGTGCGCAACGAGTTTCGTCCAGAATGTCGTTGGTGGGGTTCTCGAGTTGTGATGAGTAGAAAGTGCAGCGAGTGCTTGTTGTAAGTGCTGGAGAGGCTTGGTGAAGTTGCTGAGCAGCGATGCGCAGGATCGAGGAGATGATAGCGCCTCGAGTGTGCGTTTCGAAGTGAAAGGTTATGCGACGACCGCCGTGAGTTATGTTGCTAGGATGGAGATGCGCTGCGATGAACAAGGGGTGAATTTGAGGGGGCAGAGGGCAAACGGTCGGAAGGTAATGCACCAAAGTGTTTGTATTGAGGAAGATGTAGTCGGCGAACAAGGAGCGAGCGCCGGAGAGGCACTACTTTGTTGATCGAAGAACAAGACGCGGCGGCAAAGATGTGTGCGCCTCGAGAAAGAAGGAATCGAGTTTCGCAAAGCGCATTCGGAAGGCGCGAGCTGTCCGAGTGAAACCAAAACAATGCAAGAAGAAAGCAGAGAAAGAAAGGTCTGAAGAATCTGTGTTGATTTGCTCTGTTTACGTTTCAGCTAAGTCACACATCTTGGCTACCATCGCTCATGATCCATCCTGTTCTTGAGTCTCCTTCTAGTTTCCCTGAGCCTTGGAGCAGCTTGAGTATCGTATCGATGAATTAACTTGATCGATATCCTCTGCCATCCGCTTCAGCGTTCTCATTCTGATTCTTCTTCTTCTAGTTCTAGCTGCTCTCTGCGCTTCTTCTCAAGAAAAGTGTCCAAGTGTGACAGATCTCCAGTCTTGTCGCGTTCGCCAAAACCATTTTCACCAGCCCAGATGCGGCCCTGCGAGAGCCAAACCTCGTTGATCTCGATACACTCAACTAGCGTGGAAACTCTCAAGAACGCAAGAGAGCAATGATCCCGAATCCACACCATGACTGATCCCCAAGAGCCCAGCAATGCGATCTCCGAGAGCTCTAAGGTCTTGATAGTGTCCCTGTTCTGACTCAGCACACAGAGTAGCTCACTTTGTTTGCAGGCTGCTTGTCTCAGTTCAAGTACACTCAGACAGTGTGACTGAGTCGATTCGATGACCTGACCGAGAAAGTGTGGACGCCAAGAGGCGATGTCTTTGAGAACGTTGTAATGGGTGTTGAGGTGCAGTTCAGCAAGGTTTTCCACGTGGTTGAGAATAGCAGACAGCAGCCCGTCATGCTCGTTATCGATCGCACCAACAGTCATGTCTACGCGTAGGACCTTCACCGTGGATAGAACCTCTATTCCATTGTCGAGACGATCGACCCATTCCTCAGGGTCGCCGGCATTAGGCGACTGGTCAGCTGTCAGTTTGATTTCCTTGACATTACAGCCGCTTCTGGACGCGGCGACGAGCATCGCACGAAGGGCGTATCCCACGCTGTCCTCCGTGAAAGTGTCGGCGAGTGTGCCATCGCTGTTTTCTGATAGATGTCTGATAGCTTCGAGGAATTCAAAAGGCTTAACATTCGCCTTCGTGAAAACGGACAATGTTATGCCATGTCCATAGCGTCCCACCGTTTTCAGTGCATTCTCGAGGTACTCGAAGGATCCCACGTACTCTTCCAACTCGAGTTCGGCTTCTTGGAAGTCCAGGAGTGACTGTATCAGACGTCTCACTTTCCGAAGACCGTTCAGATCCCTTTGACGAAGACAATTCTCGAGATTCTCTTGCAGCTCGGTCATCCTGCATTCACGCATACGACGACTAAAGAACTGAATCTCGGAGACTTGAGGACCGATCAGAGGGTGTTTGCAGATGTCGACCAGTGTCTCTAAGCTCGCACGAGTTGCCATGACTGGAGGAGCCGCCAGAAACCTCTTTCCAAACTCGACTGTGGCAGGGACGTGTAGTAGCTTGCAAGTGAGACGGACTGCTCTCAACCATTCTTTGCCACGAGAATCGTTCTGGTCTTCATCACAAGCGTGAGTGCAGATTTCGGTCAATATTTCATTGGGCATGGAAAGCAAGTCGGGCAGAAGTTCTGGAGCGTCCTTCATCCTGTAAAAAACTCATATCAGCAAGACTCGCGCGCTGAGCATTCGGGAGTCTTACGTGGGTGGTACGCAACAGAGAGAAGCGGCGTATCAGTCCAATGGAATTTGTGTGAGACTGGAGAGAGATGAGGAGTGGAGGATGCGCAGTCGAGGGTTTGTGATGGTTAAAGTGCGCGTTGATAGATGAGATTATACTGAAGCGGCGGGTGCGGCGGACCAGAAAGTTGCAACCAAGTTGCGAGTATTCGGGCGGCGCGAATGATGGTTGCGCAGATGAGAAGGATGGAACTTGAAAGAGCTTGATGAAAGCCCTTGATGAGGTGAGGCGAGGAAATTGCGATTTGGAAGGCTGCGAAGCTCAAAGGGAAGGAAAACAAAGCGACTGAAAGTTTGCTCGTGCATGCAGGGCGCTTGAAAGTGACAAAACGAGCTTGGTGGTTATTCTTGTCAAGTAGTGACCAGTGAGTTTACGACAGTAGGTAACACTACCAGCTACAAGCCCTGAATCCCTACCATATTTGTGTGACCGATTAAGCATGCCAGTGGTGTTCATTCCCAGAGATTCATTTCTTCCGAAACTCTTCCTCGGAAAGTCCTGCTGTGCACGCAAATAGCGGTAT